TAGAAGCTTTTCCGAACATGCTACATGACGACCATCGCTGAAGTCGCCGTGCACGATGCACTGCTGTTGGACTTTGCTATGCACTCAGCCAGGGCCTTCTTTTTGGGTCGTTTCCTCGTACTGGCAGATGAAGCCTTGAGAGAGAGACTGGATCCGACAAGAGAAGCGAAGTGGTAGTGTGCGCGCAAAGTACAACCTGATCACACACACACAGTCTTATGACTAGACCGTTTCAGACATGTCCCGACTCCTGCAGAGCACTTCGATTAATTAGAGAAGCTTGGCCACATGCCCCGTGAGACATGTTTGCACAGCCTGAGCTCCAAAGGCTCCCCACTAGATCCTCAAAAAAGGAAGGAGAGCACAAGGCGGGGCGACGAGGAGTCGGAGGTTGATAACTGCGAAGTCTGCGAAGTAACAAACCGAAGCTGTGCCCTGGCAAGCATCAGCAGCATCAGCCTCCTCCTCTTCGTCGCTATATGAGCTGTGCTTGCGCTTCTTCTTGGCTCTGGGTTCCTCAGATTTTTTGGCTTTGACCTTCTCCTGCTCCTTTGTCTTGTCTTTGCTCTTCGCCTTGTCCTTCTCCTTCTCCTTGCTTTTATCCTTCTCCTTTACCTGTGCAAAACCGCAAGATCAGGCGCTGCACGTACATACAAACTTGCTCCACGGCTCAAACACAAGCAATCAAATGACGACAAGTACAAGAACTATCCTCCGAAGATGGCACAAGCTCCCTGCCAAACCCGTGCATGCTCTACTCAAAGCATTGTGGGACGAGGAGCAAGTCATCTGCAGCGATGCCGGGACATTTCACTGCATCCCGCCTTCTCTTTCTTCTGCTCGGGCTCCTTGCCACCCTTCTTGTCTGAATCCTTCTTCTTTCCTGAGAGAGACCGGATCCCGTGGCAAATTTTGATCCGTTGCCGAAGCACCCACACAGCACAGAGTTCGTAGCCAAAAAGGAGACAAGAGATGACAAGAGTCCATCCTTAGAAGGTTTCTCCTCCTTGGCGTCGTCTGGCTTCCTCAGCAGGCAAGGGGTCTGGTTCCACAAAAAACCAATTGCGCACATGTCGGAATGTCGGTCTTGTCGTATAGCAGCCAGCAGCTTCTTCCACAAAATGCCACGAATGCTGGAGAGCGCTGAACCGGTTCCACCGTCACCTTTGAGGTGCCCCTCACAAGGCACCCATAATGAAGATGAAGCCTTCACCACTCAAAATTCTCGTGTAACGATAATAATGTAAACTGAGAGCCAGTGGAAGGGGAGAGAAAAGGAGAGAGACTGAACCACAGTGACACCTGAGCTCATACTAAAACAAGATAATCATAACAACTCGGATCATCACCGTACGGCACTCTGCGGGCGACCCCGCGAGTCAGAATTCAGCACAGGTGCTTGGCTTCAGCAGCTTTCCTCTTGGCTTCCTGCAGGTTTCTTACTTGCTCTCGGCGGTTCTCTGGCGGAGAGACACTGGCTCCACCTGGTATGCAAAAACACCATTTGCAGCAGAAAGGGCCAAGCGATAACTAAAGACGCATCTCCCCCCAATGTGTTTGACTCTGTCCTCCTTAGCTGCCTTCTTTTTTGCGTCATCCTCTGCTTTCTTCTTTGCTTCCTCCTCCGCTCCCTTGATCACCCACTTCCAGCCTCAACCACGCACTAGCTGGACCAGTCGTCATGTAAACAGAATAAATGGTGGCATCTACTTGCACCTCATGAACTGATGGCAACGACTCTTTACCGCTGACCGGTGCAACTCAAATTTAGGTTGGTACGAAATGAGGCTGCAGGGTGCGGGGATGCTGCTTGTGGCAGATCGAAGATCCGGGCAGGTGACCACATTCGCACACAGACTTGGCGTATGACAGAACTAGGCAAGAGGGCCCCCGGGCTTCGGCGACTGTGAACATGAAACAGGACAAACTCTGGCTCTAGGCTCTTATCGATTTGGGGTTGGATCGATTGTGTCCCCCATGGCATCGAAGAAGTCTTGACATCGCAGAACGGCAAGCCCTCGCATGGCCACCTGTTCCCACCTGCGCCTTCGGGATCGTCCTCTCACCTCTGGCTCGAGATATGAGCACGCATGGAATGCGCAAGAACGGAGCACTACACTGCACATTAAACCTGAGCACGACAACACAGTTCAAAGCCCTGCCCGGAGACTCGAAACTTCACGCTTCAACGGCCCCGCCTTCAACCTTCCAGAGGCCCGTCGCTTCTCCAAGGACTTTTACACGCTCGCCCTTGTGCATGGCGTACCTCCAGGCCCAAAGGGTCCAAACTGCACTCCAGCCACTACAGCACCATATCCTTCCGGAATATTCCGGCTAGCACCAGAGCTGCTGGCAGCATGCAACACACATCGCCAGCCGTATCTGCACAAGCCAATTTTCAGGTATACAGCTGAGACCCTGGCTTTTTCTGCAAAGCCTCAATCACACCGCCGATGCCTTTCACGGTGCCTTTACGTGCAGAGCAGGTCAGCGAGTTTGCCGTTACCGGGTGCGGCGACGCCTGCTATAAGGTTGCATCCCTGGCCCTCAAGTTTCGATGATCTGAACCTGTTCTCTCGGTCACAACACCGAGTGCAACCCATGTGCCTTAGAGCCAAGTTCAAGCCAACGAACTCAACACCTAGTTGCTGGACTCCTCTTCTTGAGCTTGCCTGATCCCACAAGTTAAGCCTTGAAGGCGTCATGTAACATGAAACACTAACCAATTCTTGGATGCTTCGCTCCAAAATCAATCCGAGAGCTTTCTCTTCACACTCGCGGACATGGAAAGCAACTCCAACTTTCATCCTTCAGTGGCTGCTCAATTTTCCAAGAGTGGCCTTCCATCACCTTCGGCTTTGCGTCCTGGAGAATCCGCCATCGGTATACAGTTGTTGCATGGACGACATATCGGCCGAAGCAAAGAGCGTTCAGCTAGGGCTTGCCGAAATATGCACTCATCACAGTCCGAAGCAGCCGAGCCCCCTCCCCGGCATTCGTAAGCGTCCCTACTAGTGCTTCAATTGCGCGAAGCGTGCACGACACCAGCAGATAAATAGCGTGTCCGTGAGCTTGTCAGACAGATATATGGTTCAGATATTCGTGGGAGCTCGACTTCAGTTGTCTGGAATGTAACCCGTCGAGGTGAAGGCAAAATTGCGAGTTTCGGGTCCCTGGAGAGTCAAGTCGGAGCGCCTCGAACTTCTGATCCACGCCGGCGCACCGCCGCTCGTGAGCTGGAACCTGGCACCGGATTTGCGACCTCTTTGCCCAAGTCTAGCAACATCTAGTAACTCAACAATTAGCAACCCTTGTCGCGTCGAACCAGGCCAAAGGGATTTGCCACAGTTTTCCTCCTAGGTCCCAGCTGGGGTCTGCATAAGGTTCGGGACATGCAAGCCAGCCTGGACAATTCAAAACAGCGGTATCCACACCTAGGCAAAGGCTCTCACGTACCGACCACGGTATATGACTCCTGGAAGCACATATATATATATATATATATCTATTTGTATATATATATATATATATATATATAGGAGCCTAAGCCCGAGCCCTTCGCGGCGCTTTCCGGGCGTTTCATGTTGCCCTGCTCATGACTTCGGTACCGACTTGTCGGAAAAGCCATCCACCCGGCGGCCTCCTCGTAGATAGGATTGTCCAAGGAGTGCGCAATCATTGCAGAAAGCTCCTGGCTGAAACCCAATTCAGGCCATCAGTCCCACACTCTTTTTGCAGTCACAAAGACTGACAAGGCATTTCCCAGAAGTGAGCAGGAATACGGGACCCCAGATTTAACTCGTCATGCACCACAGGTGCTGAACTGCTATAAGGGTGTGCAGGACTCCAGTCTGAGCATTTTGCGGCAGCTTGCGGACGGCTTATCGACCCAGAGCTCCCTTTTCTTGCCGGCTGCAGGCGTGTTAGACAGAATGCCACAAGTAAAGAGTGGCTGGACGTCGACTCCCAGGACTTAAAATTATCAGGAGCCTTTGTCCGTGAGAATTGGTTGTTTGAGGATGGTAGTTCGCACTTCGCAGCTGAGTCTTGCCTATCGTCGGAATTGCAATGGGGCTCGTTCGGAGTATAGGATGATGTGCTTTGGAGTGCGGCATCTTCCTGTCCCGATATGTGCCTTTCTGAGCAGAGACTGCCTAGAGTCGCAGCACAAGGGATTGCTGTTGGACATCCCCTCACCAAGTAGCACATGTTTTCGTCTTCACATGGCTTCGAAGAAGTTTGCATTGTGTGAGGGTGATCTTCGCTTCAGCAAAAAGCGTGCCGCGTTTAGCACGTGGGCAAAACATGGAATCCTCGGCGCACGTCAGCAGAAAATTGAGCCCCTGCACACTTCAATACGACAGCAGGTGAACATGGGGCATTGCAAGCCACTGGGAATGTCAGACTCATCTGACGCATCTGTCATAAACGAACGCGAATAGCAGAAAGCTCGGCAAAGGGCTCAGGAAACAGCAAGCAATCAGCACCACTGCAGCAAAGTCTGCTAGCTGACGGCTAGAACATGTGGAAGGCATGAGTTTAATGCGATCTCGTGAAACCTAGCAAGAACTGCAGTGCATAGACAGGCGCAAAGCCGCCATACTGCCAGAAAGCTCCGTTGCAGTGTGCAAATTCTTAGTACGGATCTAGGTACTGAGGCACAGGTAGGCACAGCCTTGTTCATGAACCTGAGCCTGCAGCAGCTCAGCCCATCTCCAGATAGCCGACATGCAGCTTACTCGTGGTAAGGCTTGTTTAGAGATTTGCATCAATCTGGACACATGGGCTGCGGATCAGAGTCCTTGCCTCTGGCCCGTGGTGCCATAGCGCCATATGAAAATGCAGAGGCGGAGCACAGGCAACTATTTTAATTGCAGCTTCGATCCTGCTAAACTGGAGGCCATCGTATCAGGAGAAACTCGGCTGGGCTTCGGTGTGCCTAGCCTTTTGGGACAGAATGTCCATCGCAAAAATTAAACCATTTCGGATTCACGGCCCTCTCACATCAGCAGGGCAGCCGGGGTAGCAGCCACCAAGCGCTTCCAAAGTGCACTGAAAGCCGTCGATGCAGATACGTCCTGATGGTGCACACCATGCTTCTTGCAGACATCGCGGGTGATGTGGCGAATGGTGTCGTAGCAGTGGTGACCGATACCAGGGAAGAGGTGGTGCTCGATCTGGGTGGTCAGTCCGAATGCCATGTGGAACCAGAAGTCCGACTCAGAGGCAAAGTCCACACTCTCTGCGATCTGCATCTTGGCCCAGGAGTCCTAGTTCATGGTTGGGATGGGATTTAAAATGTAATTGTTTATTCCTTCTTGGGTTTTAGTACCAATAAAAATGTAAAATGTTACCAAACTACGACAAAGAGTCATAGTGGTTGGAGTTGGGGTAGAGAATGACGTGGGCGACCTGGGAGCAAGGAACGAAGATGGCCCCGGCGGTGAGGTACATGCACAAGTAGCAAAGTGTGGAGGGGCCGAAAGTATAGTGCAAGACGCACCACAGGGGAATTTCGAAGAGAATTCCACCCAAGCGGTAGTCCACTTTGTGCCCGCCGACATGGCCCCGGATGAGCAGGTCCACGATCATGCGCTTGACACCGAGCTCGATCACAGCGCCAATGAAGATGCCAGGCAGGGACAATGCCTTCATCCACCCGGGCAGCTTGTCAGCGATCCAGATGTATTCCACATCTACATCCTTCTCGGCATCACCATCCTGGTTTGTGCTCACATGGTGGCTAACGACATGCTGGTAGTACCAGCACATCGAAGGTCCAACCAGGAAGAAGCCGGCGAACATGCACAACCGATTGACCCATTCGTTCTTGCTGACTTGCTGGTGGCCGCCCTCGTGAGAAAATCGGGTGCCCACAGTGGCGACAATGCATCCGGCAAGCAAGCTGGACAAAGGTGTGCGGACGATGAAAAACAGCCACATCATGATGCACCACATAATCGACAGTCCCACAAAGGCGCGCGGGCGCATTCGGGTGCTACCGCAGCCACCGGGGAAAGCCTTCCGAACTCCTTCCTTGATCTCCTCGTAGAAAGGATCTGGCGCCGGCGGGGCCACGCCGTGGGCCTTGAGAACCTTCCTGTGCTTGTCGTTCCAAGGATGGTATGACTCAAAGAGGGCAGTACAGTCACGGCCACGTCCTGTCAAAATAGCGAAGCGACCGCCGGGGTGCTTGTCCACGAAATCATGAAGGTCGTAAGAGTTGCCGTGGATGTACCAAAGATTTGGGTCGTAGGTGCTGGGCTTCTGCTCCTTGGGCTTGGCCTCAGTCGGAGAATCAGAGGCACGGGTGGACTCGTCAGAGTCGGTTCCCTCAGCCCTCTTCACGGCGTTTTTGCGCACCATCTTGGAGACAGGCTGATGTTTTACCTTGTGGGGTTGGGCGCGTTATGCTTCAAGCTTGAGCCAGAGCCACCAGTACTAGGCTTGGGGCTTTGAGGATGCTCGTAGGTGGAGTGGCAGCAAGCGCCAAGACCTCCCATCTTCTCATGCGGTACAGATCCTCCACAGAGGCCTCTCCACGAATCAAACATGCCGGCGGTTGCCTGCATTTTCTTGCTCGGCTGCTTCTTGACGGTGACCTGTTTCTCCTTGCCCGTTCCTGCAGGATAGATGCGAGAGTTTTCGAAAATACGGGGATTCTAGTATAGTACCCTAAAAAATAGGATCCTGATTATAAGGAACCCAAATAAGGACCCCAGGTTCGGAAACTCCCATCTTTTTCAGAAAATTGGGGGGTACCTTGTTTTGGGGTCCTTATCATAAGGATCCTATCATTTAGGATACCATGTTAGGGTCCCCTATTTTCGGAAACTCCCATACTCCAAAGCACTGTTCAACAAACATCTGCGGCTCTCGGTGTAACTGCGCTTCGTGCCGCTGGCAGTGCACGTCAAGGAGCCCAGGTACTCACTTGGTATGTAATATAGGGGCCTTAAACAAGTATAGAATAGGGCCTTGCGCTACATTATACTATAACTGTAATGCACTATACAATACCATCCTATCATACTCTGCTATTATAGCTCTATAGCTTAGGCATACTCTACTACAACTCTATAGCTTAGACTTCGGGTCTTCGCCTCCCGGGAGTTTCCTAGTAAAGGACCGGATGTACATCGCTCCTTGGCCCCGGAACTTCGACCCAGCAACAACCAGATCCTCCTGAAGCCATACTTATTACTATACTATACTATACTATACTATACTACAGTACTATAATCTACTATACTACAGTACTATACTATACCATATTATCATACTTTTCTTCACTATTTTGAGAATTACTATACTATACTATAATACCATACTATAACTCTATACTCCCACCATCCTAAGAAAGCGTTCAGCCAGCCCCTGGGCCGTCGGCTGCCCGAGAGTGCGCGGAGCTGTAGCTCCATGTCCAGGAACCTCAATCCGAGGCGTAAGTCACTACCCATACCTTAAGCCGGAATAACCTACCTTTTTAGGGTTCCTTATTATGACTTCCTTATATAAGTCCTTAAAAAGGTAGGTTATTCCGGCTTAAGGTAGGCCCCATAGTAGTTCCTTTTGGGGATTACCTCAGAGAATTCTAATGTAAATCCCCCATTAATAGGAACTACTATGGGGTTTATGGGTACTGGTAGGAGCCTCCTGCACTTTGCGGCGTCGCTCGACATGCAGCTTTCATGCGAAATAGTCCGAGTCCTCTGGGCAATGCTTGCGGCCCAGTGTCCGCTTGACTCTCCCATAGAGGATCTCGACCTGGAGGGGATCTGACACGTCAACTTTATGACTTTGCGGAACTGTAGGCTCTCAAGTATTAGCATAGAACTGAAGAAAGAACCTCGCCAGTGGTGCTTCATGGTGCTTCTGCGATGAAAGGCCGGTCATGGCGGTGCTGGAGCTGACATCGTTTAGTTGGGCGGTTGAAAATAACAGGAACTGGCCAGACAAACACGATGTTGCATAGGGTTAACGCTGCGCCATACAAGGATCCCGGAGGCTGGATGGTAACAAGACGGCCGCAAGATGTATCTTGGAACATCTCTGCACTTGTCCCTTTGATTCCAATGCACAATGTGGTTGCCGATGCTGAAGACCCCTCTGCCGACAAACTGGGATCTCGGCTGGATCTCTGGATTCTTTCATGGGGCCATCGAAGATGACCCGGTACCTCTTTGGTCTATAGCATTGAAGCTGCAGAGCGACATGATGCAACGGTTCTACATGCCCATCATTGGACCAGCTATATGGTCTGGAGGTGCGGTACCGGTGCAAAGTGGTCACAACTTAAAGAATGCAGAAACGGATGAAGTCTCGACATGGACGAAGTGCGCTTCTTCCTTTGTATTTATTGAGACCCGCGCTGGTCGGTTGGACTCATCTCCTTTTCAATCGATGTCATGCCCATGATCGCAAGCTTTAGTGGCCGCCATCAAGAGCCGTTTATAGTCTGGATCTTGCGGCGCATGGGCTCATGCATGGATCCAGGTCTAGCTAGCAAGCGTGTGGGTGCGGCCCACTGAAACTTTCGATTGCACCGCGGCTCCTGGAACACGCCGCGCGCCTTTTCGTTCAGGTGAGCGTAGTTCTTGACCAGAAAACTATCCCGCTCCTGAACACGGCGTTAACAAGTAGAATTTCTACTGTCCTGCATATTGTGGCAGGTGTGGTACTGTGTGAGCTCGCATGCATTAACGAACACACGCATACGTATATGGACCTAGGTATTTTGGCTCCCACTTAGGTATGTATGTGTGTATGTCTGTATGTGCACATGGAAGGATCCATAAAGGTATGCATGAATGCGTGTGTGTGTGTGTGTGTGTGCGCGTGCACTTATGCATGTATGTATAAATCTATCTGTCTGCCGATCTATCTAGGTATGTATGTATGTATCGGTAAATGTAAACACACACAAACACGTACATACCAGACATGCAGGCATATAGACATACAAACATGCATGCATACATACATACGTCCACATACGTGCACACCTGCCTGCACACATACAGAGAATAAGTTCTCTGCGCATGCACCCTCATGCACCCTTCTACATAGATACTGCACAGTAGCCATCTTGGTCATTCCGCCACTCGCTGGCTGATTACGTCGCGCAACCTATGACAGAATGGTAGGGGATCTAGTAAGAAGACTACATAGGCGCTAACCCCAACGCAGATTATACGGAGTTCCATGCAAAATCTGAGATTGAGGGTTCTAGCTTCTGCTGCCTACGGGTTGATGCTCCTAACTAGTACTGCTCCAGACTCACTACCGTCCTCTGGCGTTGCATCCCTCGCCACGAAGTTGCGAAGAATCCTTACATGCGGCTGAAAACTGATCAGAAGTTGCAGGCGACACTTAATCTTGGCCAAGCAGCGTCTTCTCTTCTTCGGTCGCCGGATTCCTGGCAACATTGCCTTGGCCCAAATCATGCTGCAATATGTTACTCCGTTCATAGATACATTTCGTGTGCAACAAGACCTCGAACAAACCTGCTCTATGTGCACCTGCGCCTACGAATTGCGCTGTCTGTGTTCGATGCCGAGAAGTGAGGACCAATACTGTGCCCGGTGATGCTCAGCCGAAAACGCAAATTGTCTTGACTTGCAGCGGGCGTCCCACGCGCTGCGACATCACTTGGTAAGGGTCCTTCTGAAAGCATCACATGTTGCATGCCAACCTGTAGTGCCAAGCTCCGACCTTCGCTAGCATGCTTCTTTTGTCTCCTCGAAACGGAACGCGTAATCATAGTCCTGCCGCGCAGTCCCAGAGATGTGCAAGCCAAGGCACGGTCATCTTCCATGGCCACACTCCGGTTCCGGCGAAACGATGTTGACAAGTGTTGACGTCAGGGTGGTTGGCTAAAGTTGGGGTCAATGCTGCACGTTTTGTCCATGTCGTTTCTGCTAGCAGTGTAAAGCTTGCAATTGCCACAGTTTTGGCGGCGCTTGTCGGCATCTGCCGGGCCTGCTGTTGACATAAATTGCCGTTAGCTTGCTACTTCCGACCTAAACAACGACTTCGTCACCATCAAGCGATGCGCCTTCTGCGTCCTCTAAACGTGTGGCGTAAGTTTAGGTTTGATGACTGTGCCGGATGCATCTTCATTAATGCACCACAAGCTCGCCCGAGCCTAGTCCCAAACCCAAAGATGATTGGCCTTGCACGAGGTGGTCTAGCACACCAGAAGACTCGGGCCACGGCAAACGGCACAAGGAACATGGAAAAAAAGGAGCTCGATGCACGGATTGAAACGATGCAAGCTCTCTAGCCGGCCCCTGCCGGTCTATCAACATGTTCAAGCATTGTCTCGCCTTTCCGCCTTCTTCCAGTGTCAGACTTGCAAGGCCGCACAATACCTCGTAGGCGGAAAGATCCAAAGTAGATCCCCAAGCCCTCTTAGCCTCAAACAACGCCAATCTTGGCTCGCATGCAGAAAACGCAATCCCGAATGCGACAAAGAGCTGTGACTGTGCAGCACATGCAATCAGCAATCATGTTATGACCACTGTGAAATCTCGAGCGTGTACTCTTCCTAGCTTCCGGGTCGGACGGTAAAGGAAGCTCGCAAGGTGCACACCCTGCCAATGCAACATGCTGCTGAAACTCCAGCCCCTTTCTTAGGCTCGTTTCTACAGACCGAAACTACGACAGCCGACGCGGCCCTCTTGTCCACATACATCTTCACGACCGGCTCGACAAAACGGACTGACTTTTTTCCGCAGGCATCACAAGAATGTTACGATCAGGTGAAAAGTGGTCTCTGGACACGACCTTCAGGGAAAGGGCCAAGCAGAGGGAACACTCCGAAGCCCATGTCCATGGCTACTTGGCAAACGTCCGAAATAAGCCTGCAACTCAACGCGACTTCTGCTGGGCTCCATTGATACGAATCACCGAAAGGCGTCCCAACAACTCAACCCGTGGACACTTGCGGTTTAAGCATGGCTGAACTTATTGACATGGGTGGTGACCTTGGCGAAATCCAAGTTATCACGAATCGAAAATTATGGACCATAGCGTTTCCGCAGCCAGGCAGGATCAGTTCGCATTCCAACCCACAACATCTGGACTGTCATTGCGCAGTCTGATGTGAGATCTGAACCCACGAAACTAACCGAAGAACATCTCAAACACCGATTGAAACACATTTCTGGCAAAGCCTCCGAAAGAAGGCCACGAGAGGCGCAAGCTGCTCGACGGTTTGCCCGAACCTAAGGCATGGCAGGGCAGCCAAACACGTGCTTCGACTGAACCTCGTCCTTACAAGATGCTCAATTGGAGTTACCTTTCGAGAGCAGTGCGTCGTGTCGTCACGGCTAGATTGCAGCGAGGAGCTTCAAGATCCTTGAGAAAAGCTCAAAACAATACGATGGCTTGATTTTGCAATCAGGGTTCCGGCAACTCTGGGTTCGAGGTATGATTTCCGTGGGCTTGCGCAGGTCTTTGCAGGAGTTGTCCCGAGCCCCCCGCCGCAGCAGAAAAGCCGGACGTTTGCAACCTCATCCACATAAGCTGGCACGTATCGCGACATGGTTCCTTGTGGTGATTCAACCAAAAAGGAGAGAAGGTACGCTTGACACAACAAGCTTCTGTGCGCCCGGCGCCAGAAGTGCCGCCGCCGCCCTGGAGTACCAACAGTGACAGAGCAAAGTGGAGCCGTGGCTCTGCACTGCCTCGACGCTTTACAAAGATAGGCAAGGGGCGAAGAGCAGCTGACACCGGCTCGGCATCGGCCAGGGAGGCACATCTTTGGCACCTGGAACAGAAACAAAACTTCTCATAAATGGTCGCCACCCCTCTTCAATCCTGAAGCACCGAAGCAATCCTCGTTCCTGGTCCTAAACTGCTTTTGCACGCAAAGATCATCAGGTCTTTTTGATCTCTGCAGAATTCGACTGTGCGGTCCACGATGTGGTAGGACGCATCTCACATCCTCGCAAGCGTGAGCAGGAGATTCAACGCAATGGAGCGTGGATAGACAATGTCTTTGCATAGCCCAACGGGAAGCTGCATCCTAGGTGGTTCGTCTGTGTGCGATGGCCTTCGGGAGAAAACGCCCAAAAATGCTCCGAGTGCAGTACGAGACTGCCAACTGCGAAAGCTTCATGTAGAATGTAGATACGTCGCTACCCCGAACATTGGCTGCCTTCTCGACGCCGCATTTTGCTGACGTACCCTAATCAACTATGCCCACCCTGAACACGGTGATTGCTTGCCAGTTCGCATGCAGGACCTGACGATCTGATTGCTGCAGAAACATGCAGAAACCACTGAACATATCGAGGTAGAATCCCGGACTGGCACGGCTGAGGTCGAAGCATCCAGGCCAACAGTAGCACCAGCAATGCAGAGGCCAGCGGCGTGCCGACTGCCTCATCCCAGCACCAAACCCCCCAAGTTCCCAGCCAAGCAAGCACAGCTGTGGCCTCCCCTGGCGCTCTTCCCGTTTTTGTGTCTACCAGTACTGCCCTGTTTAAGCCGGTGAGTGCTGACTTCTGCGACTTGCAAATCTCTGGGCATGCCTGCTCCCTGCCCACCTACGTATGTTTCTCTCTTCCCAGTCACACAGTACCGATCTAACTCTGGGGCTGCCAATGCATGTATGCCGGACGAAAGGATTGCAGGTTTACCTCCAACTTCATGTCGGTCTTATCCTGCGAGCTGCAAGTTACTTCTTGCCGGCCTTGTGACTAGTGTGAGGGCCGGAAGGACATGATTGTGACAATTGGGGGAGGCTTGTGTGCGTGCGCTTGGGTGAGGACGGTCGCCGCAATGCGGACGATACCCAATTGAGACATCATGTAGCATGAAGTATTCGGATGCCTTTTTTTGCCTTCCAGAGCACGGGAAGATTACCTAAGACAGCAATACTAGCTGACTCGGGTTTTTAGTGCTGGCATGGTGCCTGCGACTTTTCCTGCCATGCGGTCCAGCAACACCTCGGAAGCAAAAGGCCGGGCACTGTCTCTGCAAAAACTGGTAGAGGTCTTGTGCCAATGCATCTTTGTTGCAGTTGCAGCTCCGGAGCTATAGGACATACATCACATACCCATATGCTACACACACACATATGCCGCCTGTAGCCATCAACCGTAAGGCAGCATGCAGTGAACAACCAAGGGTGCAAATATCGTGCGGTCGCCATGTCGTCCCCTCTGAGCCTTTCGACTCGAATGCTGAGCCCGGTGCTCGCTATAGGCGTTGGTATCGCCCTTCAGCTCTGCCTCGCGAGCAGCACCAAGTTCCTCCGCGAACTTGCGACAGTCCTTCACGCACAGAGACAAAGGCACGTTAAGTTACCTAACCGACCGCGATCACCTGATTGGTTTTAACAACGTGAGCGTGTGCCGTCCACATGACTTGAGGCGATACATGCATAAAAGAAATCAACTCTGCATGCAACCGCCGAGAACACAGCAGGTCCCGGCGATGGTCGAAAAATACCTTGCGCACGGTGGGGAACTCCTTGTCCAGGTCACCTGCATTAAAACAGGCTTTGAAGTGCTCACTTGAACAGCCATGGCAAAAGTCACATCCCATGCTACAGATTCTGCTCTAAATTGACAGGCTGTGCTATAGGGAACTTAAACACCATTGACCTTGACCGAGGCACACTCTTGACGAAGTGCGATAACCAGCTGCTCGTGCGTGTAGTAGGACTCCGCCTGCAGTGGACACGTGCCTCCAATTGACTACTCATGTTCAACGCCAGCCAGTTGGCCAAGTCAAGCTAAGATAACCGAGAAACCCGGGCAACGTCTCCCTCAGTTCGGACCCTGCCTTCTTGACAATGGCCTTGAGCTGCTGCGCACACTCCTTCATATAGGCACTCAAAGTCTCCTGCATCGGCAGACGCAGACGGCGCATCTGAAGGTGATGTGATGAAGAACAACGCTAGCTGCCGCTAGCCACACTAGCTTCTAGTTCGAACATTCCACACCCTTCGTAGCCTTCCAGCATCTGCCTCAGCGACCTTCAACCTCAACCTGTATCCACAGAAAAGCCATTGACCCTACACCTGCATCATGTGTCATCCATCGCAATACCAGGTTTTGTAAGGCCAGGGCATTGTCGACGGGTCCAATGGTGGTGGTGACCTGCGGAGATGTGCTGGAACGAGCACGAATGAGCACGTTGGGGGCGACCGGGAGTTATGTGCCCTCGCTTTGCAGTTCAAACCATTACGACACGTGGAGGTCCGGAATCAAAGTCGGACCGGAAAGTTTAGGCGAGCAGTCGCCAGATTAGATACCTCAGAACTTCAGAACTTTGTCACAATGTGTCCGTGTGCGAAAATCACACAATACCAAACTCCTACATGCAAAGAACTCAAGATACCAAAATCAAGGTTATACGGAGGCTCCAGTATATACTTAAGTCAAACTGTGATCAACCAAAAATGTTCCGTGAGGTCGCAGGGTCATGTGTGAGCATGCAGCTTGCAGCACTAACGCTGGGCTTGGGTTTCCGCACTCGCGACTCAACATGTTGAAGGCGCATCACCTTGTTGTCCTTCTGTTCTGTATACCTGTAAGAAACCTCCGAGATCACAGAACTTAAAGATCTTGTCTTTGACGTACTTGCACAGTATCTCGCTCCTCACCTTCCTCGATCAACTCACGGCATTGTAAAAGTTTGTCGGTCAAGAGCGATCACTGGCGCTGTCCTTCTGGACGTTGGGTGCATCGTAGACGGACAGCGTAGTGCCTGGAGTACAGCTGAGTATAGCTGAACCGTGGAGTCCGACCAATCAGTCTGGAAAGCCAACCACAGCATGGCACGTGGCTGCATCTGCTGGGGCCCTTGCTGGTTGTCGCGACCGTGCCTTTGCTGCATGACTCGTGTCAGTCACTGCTTCTATTGCCTGTTCCGCGTCTGAGACCACCAGAAGGAACACTACGAAACTGATAATCTCTGTTGCCTGGAGCTCTTGACCCATCAACACCTCTGTCACGTTGCATCGAGGTCTCCGAACTCAGGAATCTCAGGAAAGTAGGACAAGGCAGGCATACACTGTTCTTGAAGTTGTATAAAGACTACGTCACGGCGAAATCAACCACAGCCAGAAACGTCCGAATAAATAAGATCAGCCGCCCGAGCCACTGTCGGCGGATTCCTTCGCTTTGTCCTTCTCTTTCTTGTCGACAACTGCTTCTGCTGCTGGTGCTGCTGCTGGTGATGCTGCAGGTGCAGCTGCAGGTACTGCTGCTGGTGCTTTCTCCTCGTTTTCATCAGTCTTCTCTTCTTTTTCCTTGGCGGCATCTGCTTTTTCGGACTTCGCGTCCGCTTTCTCCTTGGCAGCTTCGGATGCCTTTTCGGACGTCTTTGCTGTATCTTTGGTCTCATTCTCATCCTTGTCCTTAGCCGCCTGTTCTGCAGTTGCTTTGGCCGGCTTGGGTTCATCCTTTGCCGTCTCTACTACCTTCTTGGCGGTTGCCGGTTTCTCCTTGATCGCCTCCGCGTCCTTCTTGGTATCCTCCTTGGTGGCCTGTGTCTTGCCCTTGCTTGTCGCCTCCTTCTTTGCAGCTTCCTCCCCCGACTTGTCTGCGGAAGCTTGCTCCTTGCTTGCGGACTCAGCGATCTTCTCAGCTTTGGATTCCTTGTCCTTGTCGGACGACTCCGCGGCCTTCACCTCAGCATCGTGAATTTTGAACCAGCAAGATCAGCTAGACACTAACATGATCTGAGACGGCCAAAAGAGAGTCGCTGCCACTCGTTCCCGCCCACGCCCCTCGCCATCGGATTGCCCCAGCTTCCACAACACACACATCGTGTGAGTTCAAGTCCCTGCACTACACACTTTGACCTACCACGGCAGCATCGCTTTAAAGCCAAAGTCACGGCGGAATCATCGGCCTCCTTCTTGGCTTTGTCAGCCGGCCCGTCAGCAGACAACTGCCCAGATGCGCAGTATTGGCAGGTCGCAGAACTAATTACGGCTCAACATGCATCCCCAGAAACCTGGGACTGCCACAGGTCAACAGCTAGTTACAACTACTACATAGCGAGAGAATCGGACAGAGCTGGTGAATTGAGGGGTTTAGGGGTTTGGAGTTTTAGGGTTTGGGGGTTTAGGGATGTTTTTAGGGCTTTCCTGGGGAACCAGTAGAGGATGTATATGGTGTAGGGTGTAGGGTGTGGCGAATAATGCTTTGAGACAGCGAGAGAGAGAGAGAGAGAGAGAGAGAGAGAGAGACAGACAGAGAGAGAGAGAGAGAGAGACACAGACAAAGAGACGGACGGACAGACAAACGGAACAAAAACAAGCAAAGACGATCAAAGATATCCCAGTGTTCCGATGGCGTTTGACAACGAGCAAGGGCACACGTATCTTGGCCAAGAGCTGCTGGCACATGCTCGATACCTTCTATCGCTGCAAGCCTACCCACACATCCCGCCATTCATCCCGCCTACCATTCCAGGCAACCCCTCGACTACAAAACCCTTCTTATAGACTTCCACTACCCTTCGAGACCCTCCTCTAAACTTCTCTTGAAACACTCCTGCAAATCACCACATAAGGCGCGGCCAAAAGTACTGACGGGATAAAACGCGGCACCCCGTGCGGAGCACCCGGACACAGCAGTAACACCGAGACGGTTGTCATTCGCGGCGACCATGCGGCCGGTGTATAGGAAGGTACGTTGCAATTAATGTGCATACGGTTGCAGGATGCTGGCACCAGAGAGGGGCTGCCAAATCCAAAGGAAGGATCGTCACGGCAACACACGTGGAGAGACGCTTGCTATGCACTGCGACTCCCGGAAGCCCGGCAATAAGAGGTATTCAATTAGATTTACGAACACCCGCATCAAGCCCGACATCAACATCATCATATCATGCCATCCAAGCATATCCAAACCACCTGCACGGACGAACGCGGCAAGCAGGCCCATCAGGCGCATGCATCATCTCGAGCAGCTCTTCGATTCGTAGATAATGCTTCCAAGCAGCTGCCAAGTCCTCGAGCAAAGGGCCTGCAGGTTTGACGCGCAGAGAGCCGGACCTCACATGCAGGCGGATGGAGATATGCGAGGGCTTCTTGCACTGCCTCACCCTTCCGATGCCAGAATCATCGCAATCCACACAACATCAAGAACTACCTGAACTACCTCGGGTTTAGTAGAACCCTGAAGCCCTTGATTCTCAAGACCCCTTGACCAACATCAGGCCTCTTGAAGCGGCTCCCATCGACGAGGGGGAGCAGCGCCAGAAAGACCTGAAGCTAGCGTCCGTTTCTGTTGCACCCGCTTGAAGTCTAATGTTACATTTATAGACAAGGTCCGGCTTTCAGCGCTAATGTAGTGGGACTCGGCCGAGTCTCACCTCCTTTGGCCTCCAGCACGCGAACCCTCAACCCTGAATGGACCTTGCCGAGTCGTCTGGATCAAGGATTCCGGTCCGCCACTCCCCTCATGAGCGCATCTTGAGATCATGTAACAGAATCCTGTCAATGTACCTAGACAGATAAACGAAAATCAGATTCCCGGAGAAACCAGAACACAAGAGCCCAAGATAACTCAACAAGAAACAGTTCTCAAGACTCAGACGGACATACCGAGACATCCAAACAAAGACTCGGTACTACGAGACATGCCTGATTCAGCCTGATATTATGACGAGAACGGCCCCAACAGTAAGAAGAACGCTCATGCTGTGAGTGATGATGTACTGCGAATCATCGCAGATGCAACCATGACAATGCAAACCGGGACTGACCATTTGCTGGTCCTTGTAACAGAGTTACAGAGTATTACCACTAAGTGGTGGTCATGATGGCTATTGCTCAGCGCAGATAAGTGGCCAGGGAGAACTTCATTGCGGCACACGACGTTCTGTGAGCTCGAGCGGGCTGCTGGTGCCGTCCCAGGTGCTCGGGCCAAGAACAACTGCGCTGTGCCAAGTACCCAGCACTTCCGACTGGTTGCAAGATTGGCCGGAATGTTGACTGACTACCTCTGACCGGATAGGCTTGCTTCCGTTTGTTCTGCATGGTTTTGTTGTTGAGCGAGGACGGTGTGGGCGAATGCTGAACACAACGTGTTCAGAACCCAGGTTCGTCTCGCTTCGGCACCCAGATATATAGTTGGTCAGCGATCCGATCTAAACAGTATGTATATATATATATATATATATATATATATATATCTTGCTTGAATCACAGAAGAAAACCTCGACTCATTGCTGTGGCCGCTTCTTTGGAGGAGACCAAGCCCGAGACTCCGTCCCTTGGCAGTGGGGACTCTTCGGGTCCGCCTGCATTCAGAGACTGCAGCGGATTTCTGAGGGGCATTAACTTCCCAACGTATTTCGGGCACTAACTTTCATTGTTGCAGGCCTACATCATCCTACATACAGACCTACCTGCCATGCAAGTATATTTACATATGCATAGCGATGCTGGAGTTGTTTTCTCTAATCGCGTGGAACTGTTCCAGCCTTGGCCACAAGGTCTACTCGGCCGCGAAGCGGATCGCGGTAGTTCCGAAGATCCTGAGAGAAGCTTTCAATGCAAACGCGCTTGTTTAGATGGTGCGCGCAGACTATAAACCCTGCTCTGGCATTGCGACACCCGTCACCGACTACCCTGCGCAGAATATGCAACCCATGGCTTGGCACCAGTCCAACTGGCATGAAGTCACCCTCGGGGAGCGGTTTTCAGAATACAGCGGAAGAAAGGGAAACTTGCAAACCAAAATGCCTGGGACATATATGGTCATCATACCATATAACACTCATATAACCCAACCTTTCCAAGCAAGCGACTGGATGTCCTAGCACCCATGCCCGTGCCCATGCATCCTTTTGAAGCTAGGCTGTCTGTTCTAAACTCCCTCGGGCCCCCTCCTCCGTCAGTTTTAGAGGGCGCAAAACCCTCAACCAGGGACAATGTCAGTGTGCGCCCTCTAGGGTGGTGCCTCGTCGCTCCGCAATCGCTCGAAGCCGGCCCAGAGCTGCAAACGGCAAGTCAGCGGCGGCACCGCCTTGTACAGCTGCTGCAGCTGATCTGCACTCAATTCTGCATGTAAGAGACGGGCACACAACGGTGCACGTATGTCTATAGTCTATATTTGTGCTGAGCCGCCTCCAAACCCTGCCTTTAATAAGGCTAGATAAACACATGATAATAGCCTTCACCTCCCCAGCGCCTGCGATCCTCTTCGCAAGACTCCAGCATTCATCCCTTTTCCGTCTCCTGTATTGGGGGCTTCAGTACATGAGGCCCGAAATGACCGAAGCACTACTGTTGTCTTGGGCCGTATCTCAAGTTTCAGTAAACAGTGCATGGATCATCGTAGGCCTTGATGCCAGTAGCCGTGTAGGTGGCCACCGATGGTGGCAAAAGTGACTGAGTTGCAATTCCACATATCAACAATAACACTGGAAGTAGCGTCAATAGAAGTAGTAGTAGCACCAGTACTAGTAGCAGGTATGTATGTATGTATGTAGCATGTCGCATGTAGTATGTAGTAGGTACTGTTGAAAGCTGCATCTTCAGGAAGCTCGGGCCCCAGCTGCTGGCAGCAGCTCCTCACGGAGCTGAGGCAAATGCACGGAGCAGCTCTGGAGTCGTTCTGGCAAAGAGGGAAGACGGGCCGAGGCGGAGAGTGACCGGGGTTTGGGATACTGGGTTTAATATAGGGCCTTAATGATTAGGTTAGGTTTTGGGGCCCATGATACTATATATATATATATATGTATGTATATATATATATATATAGTAATAACAATAATAAGCTTTGAAAAAGTAATTGGTGGCTTGGATCTGCGTCAGGGACGGTGGTGTATGGGCCCCGCAACCCTGCAGCAGAGCCATGCCAAGGAGCGATTCGAGACGATTCTCCGATATGTTAGCAGCTAGCTACGTCCGTCGTTCAGCCCAGAAACTCCTCCAAAAAGGAAAGCTGCCAAACTCAACCTGCTCAGCATCCTGCTCCGACTGAAGGGAGACGGTGCGTAGCTCTAAGGTTACGGTGCAGGTCTCCACCGACAATCGCGAGGCCCGGCAAGCTTTCGCGTCGCCGGTCCGATGCATGTAGGGCATGGTATGGTGCGAACCTTCGTACGACATGCCTGACGACTATGTATTTGCATCAATCACATGTTTTCATAGTCACAAAAGAACAATGGTAGTGAAAGTAATGACACCGTGCTTAGGAACCCAACTTTGAATTCATGTGGGTCTTGCTGCTGGAAGACATGTTCCAAAGCCCGCCAAGTCGGCAGCAGTGAAGCGTGAACAAACTCGACAAGTTTTGCGAAAGTCACGAAGTCCCAACAGCCATCAACTGTTGAACCAACACGCCAAGTTGGGCTCAGGGAGCTCCTTCTTTTTACAGCCCGAAACAGATCCTCAAAAGCCCCGGACGGCAAGTAGCTACTCGGGTTGACCACAACTCCAAAGCTGGTGGCGGCGGCACGGCACAAAGCGCACTGCGGCCAAATCCGGGCCGCCGCTTCTCTGAGGGCGAAAGCTGCAATGGCCGCCTTGGATGGCTAGAAGCATTAGGGGCTTCTCAACACTTTGGGACGGGGGTCGGAAAGTTTTCGGCATCTCCTTGACCAATTTGGGAAAAGAGCTTGCCGGGCTTTGACTCTCTCATCTATAGAAAATGAAGGTATATCCTAGTCCGTCGGTACTGCTCCCTCCCTTTGCATATGCTTCCGTGCAGTCGATGGCTTTCTAAACCGACTCTCTCTGCTTTCCGTGTGATCGGAATCATGAACTGGCCTCAAGTCTAATTTCAACATCGATTGGTCGCCAAACCTGCGCAGCTGTTCGCTCTAGCTCCATAGGCGGCAAATGAGCTGACAAAATAAAGCGGCGGTCGCACTCACACAAATCTCAGGTCACGGCAGCGACAGGAACCTTGGCTGTCATGCTTCGGGGCAATGTCTACTTAACTTATGAAGCAGCGCGGTTCGGGCAGTGATCGTGAACGGCGCTCAGTTCCTGCTCAGATCGGGATAGAAGCTCTAACACGTGGTCTAAATGAAGGGATGATACCTCGCCCGCTTCGTTGGCAAACAGCAGGATGGGCGCAATCCTGTCTGCAAACTGCTGTGCTTTCGTGGCCGTGTAACCCTGACATACCCTGACCCTAGGTCTGGCATTCCGGCACCCTCGACGAAAGCATGTCGAGGTCCTCTTGGCTGCGCGGACGTGCACCAGCAGGGAGGTATCGCTTGCCTTGCAAACCCCGGTCAGCTGGCGGTCAATCCATACGCAGATACTTACATTCATTCACAAACCTCGGCAGTGGAAAAAAGGGCCGATCAGGAAACATGTTGAGAGAAGGTAGCCGGCGGCGAAAATGTACGCAAACTTTGACACGGCACACCTCTTTCCTCAGGCTTGGCTAAAGAGCTTGCCCGGCCGGGTCACGGCACGCCAGATTTTGTATCTGCTCGCTAGGTTGCCATTGCGACCAGTCTTTTCAAACATTGCGTCTTTCAATGCCATGTTAACACGCTGACGTACAAGTGCATGGCCAAGGGCACGCGCTCGCGCTGCAGTAAGAACTGTTATGCTTGCACGTTTTTCGCAGGTCGCAGGGGCTAGCCCCCGCGTGGATGCATGCTCTTTGGTTGAAGGTCTGCGTGGCTTTGGGCGATTCGTGTATTTTGTGTGGGATGACGGCCACTTCAAAGCTTCGGCTTAAATTGCTTGACAAGGTCATTTAGAGGTGCCCCGAGGCCCCGAGTGCCCTCTGTCTCTCGCTCTTCGCTCCCCTCCTCGCAGCGCCGGAGTCTGCATGCCCTAGTCTTTGCATCTGTCTGCGTGCACACGACAGCTTCAACGGAAACCATGCCACGTACTTGCTGTTGTTACGTACAACAGTCAAGAGTCAAAAGAGCCCTTAATTGCCTTGAGGTCCGCGTAAAGCACAGCTGAAAAAAAACCGCTCGTGAAACACATGCATCGCCTTCGTTGCGGCTTGCGCTGCAGTCTCGGCTGCTTCCTGCCAAAGCGAGCATTGGCAAATGTAAGGCCCCACCAGTAGCGCCTGAAATGCTTCTTACTGGCGACAGAAGATACTTTGCCCCGTAGTTAATGCGAAGGCCGCAAGACTAAGAAATCGCTGCACATTCTACCTGCACGTTTTTCTGTTCCATGCAGACCACCGAATAACCGGTACACGTGCCGCTGGAATATCAATGCATTCATTTTTTGGCTCTCGCAGTGCCGGTGGCCTTTGCCCGTCTTGGGACTTCTGGAGCTCTGCAGGGTCTTCGACGCGTCGGAAAGGCCTAAACCTCCACATCATCCTCTGGCTCTGGGTCAGCATATCCGTCTCCGGGGTCAGCATATCCGTCTCCCTCCTCGTCCATTTCCAGTTCCTTAGTTTATCGCCAGCCCATTCTATAAAGAACGTCTGAAACTCAACAATGACGCTGAATCAGCACTTGCTCAACGCCAAATCCCTGTTGGAGATCAAGGTTCATGCACGCGTTCCGACTGCTACAGTCTTGCGCTTAAGAAATTGCGGTCGATCGGTTACAGCTCCTACCCAGATCACCAGCCTCTATCGCAGCACTCGGTTTATTTACCCAAGACAAAACTGAGTTGACGAAGGCCTGCCCGTCGGTAAGGCAAAGAACAGCTATCAATGCGTCGACAGCCGAGAGCCACGTGTGGAAAGAGTTCCTTCGTAGCAGAACTATAACATACCACTCCTCTCCCTCATAAACAAAAGCCTATATTTCTACTCAGCATTTGTTCTTTCTTACCCATAACAAGTTCTTTAAGGAAGTAGGTGTGTGTATATATATATATATATACATACACATATTTTTACACACACACACACAAACACATACCCCACACAGCATATATTCCATGTTGTTGAGCCACTTCCTTCCTCCAAGGCTCTGCAGCTGAAGCCTCGAGGACCTGGATCTCCTCGAGGAGGTGGATCTGCTCCTGAACTTAAGGAGTTGAGGCGAGGATTTAAGAAGGGCGCGCGCGTGTGCGTGTGTGTGTGTGTGTGTTGCATGGATGGATGGATGGATGGGTGGATGGATGGATCCATGGATACACACACATATCTACAAGTTCTTATGCATATGTACATATTCAATTACATATACATATATACACATACACGTCTTTATCTATACATATGTCTGCACACATAAATTGGCAAAAAACACACACAGGAGTAAATACTCAAATAAACAAACTGTGTGTATACATGTGTACAATATATCAGAAAACATTACATTCGTATGTACAACTTATGTACAAGTACTTCTATACTCGTGTATATACATACACACATATGGTATACACAAACATACTTGTATGTATATACATGCGTGAGTGCACGTGTGTCAGTGTGTATGCGGGTGTAGTTAAAATTCTATGTATGTATTCTATTTACATATGTACGACGTATGTACGTATGTCTGTATGTCTGTAAGCGTGTGTGTAGGTACGTCTTGTGCGTACCGAGGGCTGGGTTGGCGGTCCATGGGTTTCAGATAGGGGGAGGATGTGATCAATCACAGCGCAGCCAGGCCACAGGCCTGTCCTCCAGTAGCGGGAGCCGAGTGACGAACTCTGCAACGCGGAACGTACGAAAGTATGTACGATATGTACGTCTGTCTGCGTGTTGATGCATGCATGTATGTATGTGTGTATGTATGTATGTGTGTATTATACATATATATATATATATATAGTATGTATTCAAATTCATATCCCGATGTTTGGGGTTTCGCAGCACCTGCAGCAGGCTGCATAAGCTTGCCTGACTGGCCAGGTAGTTGTACTCGGGCGATCTAATCATCTGCTCACAAAGACAGGGAGCGGGAGGGAGAGAGAGCAAGGAAAACAGTAACCACGCCCATCTTTGAGCCATCCCGCTCCTCCCACTACAAGGCGCGCGGGCTCGATGCACAAGGAACACAGCGCCACGCGAAATTAAAAACGGCACATTCTGCGAAGCAGCTGTCTTAAACAGGCTTCCGAAGTCAGATATCAGAAAGCTTTGTTCGGGCCACCCAACACCCAGAACCTGAAACCCCGAAGCTTCGCTCTCCTGCAGCAAGCGCTGCTCCTCAGCTAGAACCTGCAGTGGGTGGGGCACAGAGCTGGCTACGGCGGCTCTCGGATCTGTTTTCTAACACCGGGCAGCCCAGGGCCTGGGACCCTGGTTGCTGTCTGGGTGTGGTTTTGTGTTGTTCGGTGGCGCTGGTGAAGACTTGTATGAATGTTGCGTTCTGCCAATCGTGCTGGACAGTGACGTGCCGGAACTACTGCATCTAGAGACAGTGCAAAAGACCTTGATGCCTTACTTCATATCACATGGAAACGAGAGGTCGGGAAGAACGAGCTTGAAGTTCCATGAGCTTCGGACTCCACCTGGAACTAGCACGGCCTGGTTTCCCCTCACCTGTTCTCCCATGACTTGTGCATGCCTGAGGGTCCACGTTCAGCAAATGCGCTGCCGCGGCGAGCGCCTGGAGTTTCTTTCGAATGGCACAAACATATGTAAGCACGCGGAGCTGTAGCTGCAACATGCGCAAGTCGGACTTAGTCTTCACACTCTCGCCATGAGGGTCTTTCAGACTTCGGATTTCGCAGCAGCACTCTCTATCTAGGGTGCTAGCATGCCACCAACATGGGCCAAAGAAATGCATGTAGACATAGACGACTCGTAGACGTATGGCTATACCACCATGTACCCATGTGGCATGCATGCCTCTGTGCGGGCGCATGTGCGCATCTGTCTCACTGTCTGACTGTCTAACTGACTGTCTGTTCGTCTGTCCATCTGTCTTTCACTTTCGATGCAGAAAGGGCGAGAATTGAACGTCGCGCCGGGCCAGGTTCCAAACTGTGATTTCGGCGAGATCTGCACACTCCGTCGATGAGCATACATTCGACTCAGCGATTCTGAAGTCGCGGAGCACTACAAGCTTCGCGTCGCAACAACAGTCCTGATGGCATATGGAACCCACACCTTCTGTACAGAGCATGTGAGGCCCGTCCGGCGCCGGCACGCAAGCATTGGCGTTTGGGCATCGTGCACATGACACAGGTGATAGCAACAAATAGCTGGCGGCTGATTGTGCACTGACATGTTCCGAATGTATGACAAGAGGCATCTTTGTCGCCCGCAGGATCCTCCGTGTCGAAGACCTCGGGCAGCACCTGCAGCACAGGTGTCGGGCAATCTCGGGGCACCACGCCAGAGTCGAAGAAGTTTGGCGCTGGAACGGGGCGACTAATTGCCTGACAGCTGGAACTTCAAACTGGGCATCTTTGCAGGATGCAGTTTCCGAGTTGAATGTGCTTAAACTGGCATATGGCTGCAATGATCCGGTCTGGGCCTTCAGCAACTAAACACTACATCATTGAAAATCGGGGACGTGGATTGCTGCCGAACTTGCATAGTTTTTAAATCGCCGAACCAGCAAGCTAGAGAACAGTCAAAGTATGGCTGACAGGCAAGCAGAGTGCCAAATAGCGGCACGCAGTACACAAGATTGAGAACATTACAACCAGGGCGTGAAAGCTCGAGGGCATTCTCTGTAGTAGCTTTACCAGGGAGCTGTCTGGGTTAGCTGTTCGGCTCCGTGATCGTGTGAAAGTGCCGTCCAAGGCACAGCAAGGGGATCATATGCTTCGTCGTCCTCGTCTTCGAGCTCTCCGTTGTCAGCTCCTGTCGCCATACACTTCTCGTCGACATACTTGGCATTTGGCCGTTTGGCTTTTAGGGATCATGCCTCGGGCAGGTTAAGGTTCCCGGGTTCATGCCTTCTGTGCCCTTCATCAACGCCAATGCATCAAGGTGTTGCCCGTGAAGACTGGAGCCCCTCAAACGCTGGATCCGAAGCCCTGCACTGCACCTCAAGTCGCAACTGAAACCTGCTTCAGAAACCCCTCAGTGCCCTACAACTTTCAAGCGGCAGAGACCTCCCGACCCGTTTAGTTGGAACTTGTTGCGCCTCCTCTAGCTGATTCTAGCCCTGGTCGCGTAGTTTCCGATTCTGTAGTCCTGGGAGCTCCGCAGCCAAAAAGTCCAAGGCCCCGCCAAGTTCGGCAACCTCCTGCAGCATACGGCCGAACTCTCTCACCGGGCCCTCTGCACCTTTGCCACACTCATGTTTGAAAGCAGCTGTCCAAATCTGAAGCGCTCAATCATTTCCGCACGCTCTCTCGGGCAAGCCAGGGGAGGTTCGGGCAGAAGTCTCACCACAACTACAGGCTTCGATGCCAGATACTGAAGAAACCTCTTCATTCATGGAACAGGCACCTATAGTATTTCAGACCTCAACCCCACAGTCGAAGAGCCTTCCTGGAATAAGGGTAGCACCAGGGCCAAAAGAGCAAAGACCCATAGTTGGCCTTCAGCACGCACCCGAAACTCACTTGTCGCTACATGCACCCTTGCCCAGCCCTTCCTCGGTCTCTGCCAAGAAGGCCAACGCATCGCCCAACTCGTCGGCATCCTCTTGCAGCTTTGTCTACTTCCAACAAGGTCGGGGAAACGGCGGCTAGCACACCGTCTTCCGGATGCTGTGCAGGTCCTCAAGTCCTATGCATCGGAGCTGAGCCCTGTGGCCTTACATAGTGCTGTGCTCAGAAAGAGAAATTCTCATCCCCGGTCCTCTGCTGGAACTGGGGGTACAGGTTCGGCCTCGCTGGTCCCAGCTGTGCAAATTTTGTTGTTCTTTCTACACCCAAACCGCTGCGTATCACGTCTGGTTTTCTGTCCCAGAAGTTCTGGCAACTCTGAGGATACCTTTGTCTTGAGACATCAGGATTACGGGCGCCTTTGCCTGCAGGGCCGGGGCCCGAAGAAAACTGCAGAGCTCTGCAGTAAAGCATCGGCACCCTGGTTCGATCCCCACTGCAAACCTTTCGACAAGAGGCCGGCTCTGTGAGAGGCACATCCACGGTTGGCGCATCTTCCCCACGACGCCTCTTTGGTGTCGGCTCCTGCGCCTCCTGCAAGACGAAGCATGAAACTTGCGGGTTGGACATTCCTAGCCTGAGGTGACGTCAGGTCTCATGACCTCAGGCCATGCCCGCAGGCCAAACCTTCGTCCAGCAAGGCCATGCAAGCCACTACGATACCTGAACTTACTTGCAAAACAATCCTTGGTTGTTCTGGTGGTACATAAGGGTATCAACTGGAAGCCTCCAGAAACCTTGAAATAAATACTGCCAGTCCCTGCCCGTCTTTGCATGTCGACCCTAGAATCCCTAGAGTAGGCATCGACAGCCCGAGAAATGCCCGAGACTGAAACGACTCAGCGATCCCGAAACCCCATGGTATCTATGTATGCACAAGCCCCAAGTCCTCGTCACTTTCCGGACGTCCGACGCCCTGCAACAGCATGCACAGGCACAGGCATCAAGAGTAAGAGTCGAGTTCTTTTCGGATGTTTCGGACAGCTCCTTCATGCTCCATCTGCCATCAACCACAGCATCAAGCCGAAAGGGTCCATAGCAGGGCCTCCAGGAAGGGTGCGGGCTGCTCGCGGTAGAGCTGATAGCGCTCCGCAATGGTCGGATGGTCCTGCCAGGTAGTCCAGGTCCCAAGCACAGGCTTCTCAGGCTGGCGGCCGTGGTGGCTGCTTCAGAAAAAGGTGTACAAACAAAGCTCAACACTCACTGCAATCCGATGTATGGACCTATCAGTCCCTGGCTGCTTGACTTTTTCTCCTCCTACGTCCTGTCGGAGGAGGAATGGGCAAAGAAGGGATCCTTCTGGAGCCTTTTTCGCCAGGAAGAGCGCCGACAGGACCTCCGAAACAAACGGACAAATCAGCAGCTCCTTGTCCCAAAGTCCCACAGAAGTAATGTAGGGGCCTAAACAATTTTCAATACCGCTGTAGATTCTCCTTAATCATTAAACTAGTTTTAGTATGATTCGCCCTGAAACCCAATTCTAACTATTATAAGGCCCCTGTATTACCTAACTCGAAGTCTTTCGGCGTTCCCGCGCGATTTTACGTAGCTTCGTCACTTTTCCACTCCGTCCTAGCGGCCTGGTATCCGTGGTTGAAGGCAGCTCGGACCAGCCCTATCCTTGGCATCGTCTCAGGTCCCTATAAGAAAGAAAAGCTAGGAGCGCCTGGCCAGGGGCGGAAGCCAAAATCATCGCAGAACTTGTAGCTGCTCGAAGGCAGGTGAGAAGTCACACACGCACACACTGCCAACATGTGCAGGTCGCGAACTTTCGGCATCATGCTTGGTCCGGCTTGTCCGTCCCTTTGTGTCGCAGCCTAGTGTCTTGAATATCCGGCCGCCAATGTCCAATGAAGGCTCTGTTGGCGACCTTGATTAGGTGAAGGGGGGCCAGGTTCGAATCGGCGATTAGGGCAGCAGGCTATCGTCATACTTAAAAAAAAAAAATATATATATATATATATATAGATATATATAAATGTAACGATCAAACCTACCGCTGCATGGCTCCTAGTCTGCACAGTCCTTTGGGAGCATCTCTGAGGCAGAACCGAAAAGTCCGAAAGGCTCGAGGCATAACGTCGCCTGTCCGGATCGAGTTGTTGCGGTCCAACCTTCAACAACGATTGCGTCTTTCATGCACAAAATCTTCCGGAAGCTGAATTAGCTGGCTGCTAAACAACTCAGCTGTACATAAATGGGAATGCAAAGAACAGCAGCTTTGCCCACTACTACAATCGCTCGTCGTAATCTTCATGATCACCACCATCATTCTCATCATAGCCTCCTCCTCCAAGACATGAAGGCTCGGCTCATCATTGTATGATGTAAGTATTCCCTGGTCAGCCATGCTGTGGCAAAGCTTGGCAGAACCCAATCCGGACTGTGATTTTCAAGCAAGATTTCGCGTGAAGGAGTTTCGGTTATAGTAGTCATAATATTCGCTTGAGGATTTTCTGGTTCGAGTGGGTTGGACACCTGAAGTGTTGGGAGTGGACAAGGGTTTGAGCTTCAAAGTTTAGGACAGTGTTGTGGTGCTGACGCCCAAAGTTCAAAGTCCAAACAGCCATGGGCCTCGCTTGGCTCTGTCGAAGAGGGATCCGCCCTCGCGCACTGAGATCCCAGTTGCAGCGTAGCGGAACTCCTGGCCATAGTACCTGCGGAATACGGCGCACATGACGAAAGCTTTTGATGATTGTTGTGGTAAAAGTTAGTGCATATAACTCGATGGTGAGTGGGAGATTCCTCAACTTAGCAGCCGTCTATGTTTCGACTCCCTCGCGGCCTGAAGAAGTCCAGCAGCAGGTTGCCCAGAGTAGTTACCGAATGCAAATGGGAACTCTGGGCCGACTTGTGGTGCTGCAGAAACGAGAGCACCACCTCAACGAATGGATACGCACATATCAGATTCGGCCTACTTGCCTAGACTCCTACATGCACATGAACAGGCATCTGCTTGTGTTGTAACTTGTTACAAGTATAACATATGAACCAGTTCGTATGATTGGAAACAGTATACACCAAACAAGCTTTTGATCACCTCTTCTTGCCCGCTTGGGATGGCAGGCATGCAAAGTAACGAACTCTATGGCACCAACACATCCAGGGCGCACAAACGAGCACGTAGGAGCCCATGCCGCCCATGAACGTTTCATGCAGGTTCCTCTGTGAAAGGAACAATTTCAGAAACAGCACCAGTGGCGACAGCGCAGGAAATAGCCGCATCTGCTCCTGAGGAAGCTGGACTGACATTTTCTGGCTGCGCCGAGCTTCAGCGTTTCCATAATTTGATTCCGCAATGATACATGTATGTGTATGTAGTATGAAGAACCAATCATCTACATACACCTAACCATACACAGATATTCACACACAGACCCACATCAACACATGCAGACATTCTCGTGCACGCACACCCACTCACCCAGACAAACACAACGATGCGAAGGCATACATACATGCATGCTTGGATACATGCATCCACAAAAAGTAATACATACGTAGCTATAAAATGAATGCTGGCCCCATAGTCTTTCAGCCAAGCAGGACCCTCTACCATCGAAGCCCAGCCCTTGTACCTACTTTGGCATCGTCGGGATGCGTCAATGAATTGCGCGGTCTCGAGGCCATCGGTCCGGTTGACTACGATGTCAGCCATCAGCCCCGTGTTTCCTGTGCTGTGTTCAGGATCCAGTTTTGCGGCAAGCAACGAGAACAGGCGATTACATTCGGGGTACATTCGGTCAAAATTAACAATCACTTCGGGGTTCCAGCCGCTGCCAGCGGGCGGTAACCGACGGGGTGAGTCCTGGACGAGCTGAAGGGATGCAATATTGCAGCCAAGTCTCGGTGCTGGACCTTCATCACCGGAACCTTTGCAGACCTCGTGGTCACGGAGCCATTTTTGTTCTGCGAAACATGATTCAGGGACCGATGAGAGTAATTACTGACTGCACTGCCTCTCGTCTGCTGAATCTGTGTAAGAAGACATGCCGTGGACAGATGTTCAGTCGGACCCAGTGCCTGCATGTGACCTACGACCACTCGCCGAACGCTCCATTGATTCAGATCCATGATCTGTTAAGGCAAGGCTCTGGATTATTTCAATTTTACTGACCTCCTCGCGCTCCAACAGGAGCTCGGCCAGCTTTTTCATGGCCGTGGTGGCTCTGACGCCTCAACACGACCGGGAAACTCCCAGTTCGCGTACACAACCCGCCCTGCGCCTACTTGTAGGAGACATGAGACACCATTCATCCCCTACTTGGTAGGATTTGGTAGGCAGGGAGGTAGGCCAGGTAGGCCTGTGGCCAAGTCATTACATACGTAAGTAAGCAAGTACTGTTAATCAGCAGTCGTGTTCTTTTCAGGAAGAGATCCTCAGCCGCTCCTGCCGAAAGGGTGGGCTAGGATTCTGAAGAAAACCGAGACAGCTTTGGGCGCAAGGAGCTGCTTAAATGGGCCGGGCGGGGAGGAGGTTTGTTGAACCACCAGAAACTGAAAGCAAACCACCGCAAACCTCTGAGCCCTAGCACGCTGCCTTCTATGTTGACGATGGCAACGTCCACATCGGCATTTGGCAAGTTCAGCTTCGTGGCAGTGGAACCGAAGACATGCACTCGCGCCTGCGGCCACCTGATTGCTATGCACTGGTTGCGCTGAGGATGGATATACATCTTGGGATCAAAGAGCGTCTGGATGGGGCCACGAGGTTTGCCTAGCAATGAACGAATGCCTTCCCACTGAACCAGTGCTATCACGATTTGGTCTGGGCACGTCGATGCAATGCTGGTCCTTAAGAGGTGTGCAGTGCTGGTACAGTGCTGGTACGCTGAGACGCAAGATCTTGCGCATGTGCTGGGTAGAGCATACCGACTCGCGTTGAAGAGCTTCAACCAAGCGCAATGTCTCTGGTGCTGACTTTTGGCTTTTTGTGCTGGGGGAGCCTGTGCTTCTCGGTTGTTACTCTTGGAGAAAAATTTAGAAACCGGATGCTGGATGCTGCTCAGACTTGGCGTTCTTGCTCCATGTTCTATAGGGTCAAGGCTTGAAGCAGCCACAGGGCCTTTGAACATAATGAAAGATGCTTACCTGCGGTGTTCATCACATGTGGGGGTAAAATCAATATTCCAATTTGGTCGCGAAGAGGGTCTAACAGCCATACACCTCTGGAAGAAAGAATCGTCATGCACATTTCGAAACCAACCAGCCGCTTGTGCACCAAAGCGCAAGGACTCGGAAGCTTGCTGCAAAGTGTGTGTCCAGGCATCCCTTGCCGCCTCAGCTGCATCGAGAAATGACACACAGGGAGTTTCGAATTCAACTCATCAGGCTTCGACGACACTGCACAATACAAGCACGCCGACTTGGAATAAGAGGAAGGAGCTTGGAAAAAGCTAGTTGTCGAGCAGAACTCACAGTATAAGCCTGCAGTGGATGCAGCCTCGCAACATCTTTCTGAAGCTCGGCCACATGCTACTTAATGGAAGGACGAACCACCAACAGACTTTTCCAATCCCCACAACTGATTCAGTACTGGTAAACAAGTCTCTCTACATCCGTGGCTTTGGTTGCCTAACCGTCCCAGCAGCCGACTCGATGATCGTCGGCCGCATAAAGGCAGCAAAGTCGAGGAGCTCCTGTCGCATCGCTCCGTCTTTGTTACACTTGCGGACTCGGGTAAGTGACTTACCTCTGGTTAGTAGGGCATGGAAGACTGGTAGTGATAGTAGTTGTACTTGTACCCCATTCTTCCATTCCCTACTAACCAAAAATAAGGTGAAGGGCACAACTGTCCCATCTTGACTCTATTCCACGGAGGACGGGCTCACAATCAAGAACTCACCCGTCCTCGTGGAGACGCAGGCTCACCTCTGAGGGCTCGTCACGATAGACGAGCCAGGGTGGCAGCTCCGAAACTTGGTCCTGCCGTCTGAATGACTACCAGTGTTGAGCCTAGTACTAGGCTTTCTTCACAGTGTTATAGGGTCTGCAACGGAGCCATTATTGCTTATACTATCATCCCACTTATCCCATCTGAAACTAAGCCTCGCAGTATTTTCGTTCTTGGGTCGGTGGCAAACCCAGCCACAGTCATCTACACTGGAGTTTGTCGCCGCACCTCCAGCGTCCTTTTGCCGGGAGCCGAGAAGCATCACGTTTCCTGAACTCTCCTTTCTGATCCCTGGTTGTTCATTACTGAATCTCATGTGGACCCCTAAGCCCTAAAACATATCATGTCCTCACTGCAGATCATGCGGAGGCACAGACAAAGCTTTGCCTCCTAAGGTAGGGCGCAGGGTCCTCAGCCTTTGCAGGCTTTGGCTCAAGCAGGTCGGTGATGGTCGCTACCTTCGCTCTGATGGGATTTTGTAATGTATGGACAAATATCTAGATATAGAGAAACAAACACACACGGATAAGTGTATGTATATATATATATATATATGCATTGAATATATATATATATATATATATATATATATATATATATAGTTGTATACATAAAAGTATGCACACCCTCTATCGATTTGTCTATCTATCTGTCTGTCTATCTATCTATCTCTGTGTGTGTGTGTGTATTGATTAGTGTCAAAGCTGATTTCTCGAATCCAACTCTAAAGTCACAGTCCGGGTTCCGATGTGCTCCCTCCCGAAAGCCCGAATGGCCGAGAGGCTTCGCCCAACGTGTCGGGCTTCAGCAGCTCCTGACCGGAAGCGCCGTTGCCGTGGAGGGGATGCGCAGGGCGGGAGGGGCGAGTTGTGGTACAAACCTGCGTTTGCAAGCGATAAGGCTTCGTCCCAGTTGCCGAAATCCACGAAGCCTCCGCTCACTTATGGAAGAAATGCCGCCTCGACAGTGGTGTCTCGTCGGCCCTTCAGAAGGCCACGGATGCGCAAGTTACGGCGCGCCTGCCACATGGATCTGCACGTAAAATGGTGTACGTGGCGTTTGTACGCACCATCAGTGGCATGTCATTCCGCTGCGTGCAGCACATGACAAACGCCGTTCTGGCAGGCCTGTCGCTGGTTCTTTGCCTCATCTTCCATGAGCATCCTTGGATTCGTTCGAGCAAAGGCCCGCTCCAAAGGTAGAGCCCGGGCCCCCCGCCGAGACTTGCCAGACATGCCGGTCCCATAACTACATAGTAGAATGCAGGGTCTCTATATTAGGAACTACTATTATGACTTGGGGAAGTATCCCCCATAACAAGGACCTAATTAGGACCCTTTGGCAGTGTAACCTCAGCACATCCGGCAAGTGGCTCCCCGGCTTCACCGACCAGACTGCCGAACATCGGCTTGCCATCCTCCTCAGCCGGGTTCTCCTGAACCACGAGGCCACGTGTCGGGCAGGAAAGCAATCGGTGAGACCATGTGAAATGTATATGACGGGGGCCGTGATACGAAAATCAAGCCTGATAGAACAGCGAATCTGCCAGCTGCCTCCATCTTCGTAACAATCAAAACTCTCAAGATGTCAGAAAGGGAAACTGTCGGGATAATTGCGCACACCCAGGCGCACCCCTGCCTTGTCATGTGAGATGTTTAGATGATCTCATCGCATCAAGCACTCAGCGCCGAAGCTCGGCTTAAGACTTGTGTTTGTGGCAGCGGCCTAGGTCTACAGTCTCGGTGTTTTCGGGGGTGATGGAGAGTGCATGAGGCATGAGCGGCATGGGGGCCGAAATCTCGTGTTCGCGGGGCTTGTACAGTGTCAATGGCCTGGGCTCCCCCTACTTTCTAAGGTATCCTGGTGCGCATTTTCAAGATCCGATCGATTCAGCCCTTTTGAAATCAATTTGGATTGTTGGACGAGACCTCATTGCCGACTAGGTTTGCAAAGACAATGTGAATGGAGAGATGGTCCAGAGAGTGTCCAGTGCTTTCACGGGACTCAGGTCAGTTTGCATGAGGCCCAGGATTCTTCGAGCCGCGTGCATAAATCACCAATGCTCAAACAGGGTAATCAGTCGAGTGATGGTCCCACGGACCTCCTCGGATCCATCGCCATAGTCACCGTAACCATCGTCGAAGCCATCGAACTCACGTGCCACCATGGCAGCACATGCGACAACTGCTGTTGCTCTACGGCTAAGGCAGAGAAAGCTCCGCGAGCTAGGCTGCAGTCTCGGTGTAAGTGCTGGTAGGAGTGAGAAGGCTATGCTGGTGGTGTGCGTCCTCGCTGGAGTGTGCGAAGCTGCGCTGTGTGTCGGGTTCTGGAGTTGTTTAACAAGGACAGGGTTCAAGCAAACCATCTATTTGCCTCCGACCGTGTAGGTTGAGTCTGTGTAGGTTGAGTCCACGAGTGTCATCGGCGATGCATGGCAATCTTGATGCTATACGGTGAGAGCAGGGGCCGTAGACAACGTGAAGGTCCGAAAAAGTGCTGGGCTTGGCGCAGGTTCACTCGGGACAAGATACGCCTAACACAAGACAGCATGCCTTGCGCATCTGGAACCACCGCGACGTCAGTTCATGTGCCGACCTGGCAAACAGAAACCGTGCATCCGCATAAACGGCGTAATTAAACATCACCAGCAAGACAATCTGTCTGATGCTCTTGCATCACACATCGCTTCTAGAGAAGTAAGCCAAACGATCGAAAACAGCTGTCTTGCAGGCGAAGTCGCGCCAGCTTGCTGCACCGAAGGCCTCGAATGCGCGAGGCTGTTAGCCCGTCATGTGCACTGACACCGACAGGTGGAAAGCAAAGAATTTGCACAGAATGCTCAAACTTCTCGGAATTTGGCCATGGGCCACGCATGGTCTACAGACACAACCACGCCAGCATGACCATGAAAATCTGATAGCAGAGCTGTAGAAGGGACAGCAGCAGCAGGAGCTACGAATGCCGGGAATTAGTTCACATCCGTTCGGGGGCCTCTGAAAGCGAAAAGCTGACTGCATATAACATCACGACAATCAGATGGTTGCACGGGTGGTTCTCGGGTCGTAAACAGATTCAATTTTTGCCCAAAGATTCCTTCAGCTTGCCCCAGCGGATTCCCTCAACTCCAATCCTAAAAGCCTAAACCCTGAACGGTAGTAGAAGGAACCGGAGTTGAAAGACTATTGGTGGAGAGAAACCCCAAAAGTTCGTGAATCGGGCTTAGACCACGCGCGGCAGCCATTTTGCAACTAAACTGATGCTCAGCACTTATCCTTGTGCTTTTGAGTAGCAGCCGCCGGTCGAGAAGCCCTGGCAGCGTCGAGAGGCCTGCGCAAGGAGCCGAGATGAGGAGCACCGAAGTGTAGGCTGTGAACTTTGAGTGCAGGGTGTGGAGGATTGCGAACCAAAAGCAATGAAGCGACAAGCCTGGAAAATCCACACGCGCTTTCGCTAGCTTCACACTCCACTTCGAAAGCGTTTCCAACTTGCTTGCTGAGGACTTCAAAAGGCAGGGAACTCGGGCTATCGCGTTGCCAACTCGTGTGAAGGTTTGGGCAGAGAACAGACGCTTAGCATCCCACAGCCCGACAGCGGTACAAAGGCCCCAATCTGACTTGCCAAACCAAGGGTCATCTGCCAAAGCACGGCAACGGAATTCAACTTTTCAATTCCTAGACGGCCTTGTTGCGACGCAGGTCGAAGACTCGCGCCTCTGAGGACGCAAGATTGCAACAGCGAGCACATCAACAGCTGCTGCCCTAGCCGCGAGTATGCGTGCCTGGCCCGAGCCGAACATGGAGACGCTCTGGCCTTGCTGAAAATGATGCATGACTTTTGCAATTGGACATCGAGACCCCGCTCAGGACAACCAAAGGTCAGAGTCAGAGGAGTTCACGCACGATTTCTGCACAGTTGGCCGCTGCGGTATTCGGATGCCGGAGCATTTCCCTATTAAAGATTCGATGCTCGACCGTCAAGAAAGAGTGAGCGCATCAGTGGTGTTTCTGTGGTCAATACAGCTTGTTGGAGTTCTCTGTCTTGCAGCCGAAGTTACTAATCTGCAGCGGCACCATCTGGCACCACAGTCGAAATTCGCACGAGCCCTGCAAGCCGACTGCACGCATTGCTCTGTGCATCGCTGGGAACAAATGACTCGCCTACTGACCAGTACCAAAGTAACACGGTGCGTTCACAAACTGTGAGCAGTTACATCGACTGATCAGTTCTGCAAACTTGAACAGTTGATAGTTGACACGTTAGTCGGGCTAATGCAAGAGTTTTGTGGTACTTCCAAGCACACACAAACCTTCGCCTAAACGGGGAGGCGCGCCCTGTCCTTTGACAGATGGGCTTCCGAGCAGAGTATACAAACAAGTACATTAGTGAATCTCTCAGTGCATTCGACGCAGTAAACTTTCGTCTTCATGACATTAAGAAACCGACAAGGACGTATATGTGAACGGGACTGGCCCAACGGCCTCGGGAAGACATGCTTCGGGCAGCTGATGCACCGCATCCTCGTCGGGCACGAGGAGGCTGCCGAGCCTTTTTGGGCTTCAGGTTGTCTAGTATATTCCATAAACGTACAGTGTGTAGATAGCTGTGTCATACTATATATGTTACAGTATATTAGGCGACTGGGACTTTTTCTGATATTCAAGCCGGCGCACACCGTCAAGGTTCAACGTCGTCGATACAAGTGCATAGTGCGCGCGCGCGAACCCTTTTTCGCCACAGCCTGTCGGTGAGGCCTGCAGCATGCAGCAGGACAGAGACCTGCGACTGCGAAAGCCAGCACTTACTTAACAAGCTTATGTGGTTGAACTTCTATAGGCTTGTTCAGTATAGTAGTAGGCAAGTCACCACGATGTCACCGGCAGTCTTGTTTCAAGCTTCGAATCCGGGTACGTTTCATCCAAGCAGCACTGCCAAACGAGGTGGTCGGATCAAGGGACACGTGGCACTTGTCGTTCCCAAAAAACTATGTACTATAGGCATTCGGTGTAATGTTTTCATCGATACTGTACTTCAGTTTACCCACTGCACGAGTGACGAGTAGCCGTCACAATGGATCACGTATCAGGAAGCATTGTGGAACGAGTACGGGATCAAGCTGAAAGCCAAGAGAAGGCCTGCAGTTCTCCGGCAGTGACGTCTGGACTCTGGTGCGGTACCTTGCCGACACTTGAGACAGTTCAACAGCTCTCGGGACAGACTAAACCACAGCCTGAAGAAGACACCGGGAATCAGCCAACACCCACATGACATGTGGTAGTGGACTCCAGGTGCCCAGCATGTGAGTGTAAGTTGAAACATGCTAGGCCGTGAGGCTTGCATTGCAAGACTAGGATTGCTACGCACAGGCATCTACAATCTCCAATCTACAGCGGACACACGGCACGAGCAAGGCATCCGGCCTGTATGACTTGCCCGCCATAACGCACAGCGAGCTGGCCATGCTTCTGCTGTTGCATTTTCAGACCACCGTACCAGCAAAAACTGCCACTAGTCTTTTCTGTAGTGTGGTGGTTTATTGCAGCTGAAGGGCCGATGCTCTACAAATGCGTGTGTATATATGTATAATAATATATTAATATATGAATATATTAATATAGTAAAAGATTAATATATTAATATATTAATATATTAATATATTAATATATATATATATATATGTATACAGTGCATACTTTCCCATTCAATGTCCAAGGGAGCACCTAAGCATCGCAGCCCTGTGTTGATTAGGGCCACGAAGCACAAGCTACTGTAAAGTCTTACAAGGTCTAAGCCACTTTGATGAAGCCTCCGACCGAGCCATAGCATTGCTTTATAGATGACAGACTGGCATACCCTGTCTACGAAGCTGTTCACAGAAAAGCTGCAGGTACAATGCTGTCTGCAAACCAGCACTCAGACAGAAAAGGAGTGCAACATGAACATGGTTTCTCAAATCTGCATATATTGCAGCACCGCTGGCAGCACTTGCTCCATGTGGCACTGCCCTCCAACGTCTTACCTGAACACAACAGAAGATGCTTAATCATTGCTATGAATACCATGATCACAGTGTTGGGTCTGATACGCCAGTCAAACACATGAGCACACAGCAGCCCGGGGAATGCACACATGCACACACATGTGAAACACACAGAGATGTCGAGTATTCACCACACAGACAACTCGTTCGATAGCCGTATCTGCTAGCCCAGAAGAGCAGCCGGACCTGAAAATACAAAGTCCGAGAGAGGCCCTCCTGCAAAAGGGCAGCGCGAAGCTTCAATTCAGGATCAAACCTTTCTTCTACCAAAACAAGCAAAGTCACAAACGTACACCCTCGCACTATTACATCTCAGCGAGGGCCATCTTCGAGAGTTCAGAGACCCTCTGCCAGCAATCGTCACCGAACGGATGGTTCAAGGCCAGAGAGAACTGAGAGGGTCCCTGTATTTTGGCAGCTGAGCCTTCCAGAAAGTCCTGGCCGCAAGCCTCGCCGCAAGCTGACACCGCTTGAGTGCGTCAGCCTAGTCGCCTGGTGCCAAGCGACAGCAGGGTACCGGTCGGTACTTTCTTAACTCGGTCAGGGAAACATTCAGCGCATGTTTATCCTTAGATGGGCTCGGACGAAAGGGAGTTGGTCAACTCTTCTACCTGTTTCTGAGTCCTTTTAGGTTGCGTTTTGCCGATCTGGAAACTGGCCCGCGGGCGATTTGGAAAGAGCGCAGGCACCGACTTCCTGGAAACAGTCGACAAGTATGGCAGCTCAGAAACATGCGCCGCGACTTGATATACACACATGTATATACAACTATATATACATATTGTGCCATCAACCTTACCATCGCTGAAGCGGCGCCCTGCTGCAAACGAGATCGTATCGAATAGCAGCTTGTTAAAACGACAGAGGCAGCAGCAGCAGCATATCAAGAGCCGCACATGGCAGCCGACCAATCTACCCACTTGCAAACATCCACAAGCCTGCACAACTTGTCAAGTAGCTGCACCTGTCAGACCACTTCACCAAATCGTTGGAGCCGAGACAGAATTTCAAGTGCAAACTGGATGCAAATCCGGCAAGTATTCCGAGTTACTCCTAAATACCTTGCTTTATCCAGTGCAGAGACAGTGAAAAGCCTTCTAAGGCAAATAGACAGGCACATGGATGTGCACAGTGGCTCTCGGCCAGGAACTCGCTGCCAGCACTGCCTCTCGACGGCTGGTCCTCTAAAAGCGAAACGACACTAGGACGCCAGTGGCCGTCCGGAGAAGCTTCCAAGCTTCACTTGGCCGGTCTTGCGGAAGAAGGCCTTCCGACATGCAGCGGAGATGGTGCGGCAACTTGAAGACAACAAAAAAAACCCAACGTGTTCCCGCACGGGTATGTTGAGACTGCGAGATCCCGTTAACTCCGAACTGGAAAGGCGGTTCAAATTTCACCTGTCCGGCCTGCGCTGTGAGGTGGAAAAATCGCTCAATGGAAAACTCCACCTGATCCTTCACCATGTACAGCAGGGCACTTTGCCTCAGTCGCACAACAAAAGACACCCAACGGCATGCGCTGCGCCTCTCCGTGTTTCCTGCGTCTGCCTTCTTCCTTCCATCGTATTTTCAGTCAGGGAGGCCCGGAGGTACATCGACACATATACATTGCGAAATTGGTGCGGAGACATGCGCTTTGTGGGCGTCAGCCCAGTATTTGCAGCTGACCCTCCTCCTCTTCGTCTGCACTCAAAAGTCCTTCACGCCCACGCGATATGAACAGATTGTTTTGGAGGACCTTGTGGGTGAAAAGATGTGAAAAGTAACTAGGACATCCTGCATCAATGAATTCTACCCACCACCTTCCTTGACATCGTCTCCGCGTCTCACCGTGTCTCTGCCTGTTTTTCGTTTTTTGATGTGAGAACAGACTCGACCTGTGCCCTGACTGCCTGTTTTTCTCTTACTTTCACAGTTGTGTGCGTTCCGTCGTACTGGTCCGAAGACCTTTGTCAACCAAGCAGTGCCGAAGGCAAGCAGGCCAGCTGGCTGAATAAATTGAACAACTACTTTAGAACCACAGGCCATTCCGGACTCTCGCTCTTGTCAGCCCAACCCCGCCCGGCAATCACTTGGTCGCGCTTGTCTCTGGTCCGATCCGAGTCACAGCGTGCTCTTGAGCAGGGCAGAGTAAACGCCCCGGTACAACTCAATGAATCTGCCACAGGCTTTGAAGAACACGGGCTTCTAGGCAAGGAAGCAGGGGGTTTTACTGCAAGGCCCTATGTTGCACGTTGTTGCCTCTCGGCTTGCTCAGAGCTGAAGATGGTGGTGCTGAAAGCTCTGCGTAAACCAACTCTAGATCTGTGAATATACTCGTCTTTGATTGATTGATTGACTGCCTGTGGGTGCGAACACCCTTTCAATTGCAGGGCATAGGAGGGCTGGCCCGTGTCATACACACAGACAGCGCTCGTACGCTGCAAGACTGCACACGAGCATTTCTGAGTCTCTAGTCTCTGCCCTGGCGATGCAGTCCGACACAAGACTGGCGACTTGTGATCTGACATGTGCCACTCGGAAACAGAATCTGACAAAAAGAGATTCAACACTGCCCACCAAAACCTCTCATCGCCACTGGTAGTTACTGCTTAATCTCACAAAGGTCACGGGAGGCCTCTGCCACAGCGTCTGGACCTCTGGCTTCTTGTCCTCGCGGCAGCTGTAGCAACAAAGCAAGCCCTATAGTGCCGCAGTCACTCCAATTGTTGGCTCTCCTGGCAGGAACATGTGTACGTTCTCTTCTGTGCTGTAAGGTCTGCTTCACGCCTCATGCTCTTGTTCCCAGCAAACTATGCAAAAGCCCTCCGGCCTGACGGAAGGACATCGCGCGAATCAGCTCCACAGAGCCTGAAGACAGCTCGGAGCTTTACGTCCCTAGACGTAGTACGCACAATAGACCTCTTTGACTGCCATGCCCAGCTTCAGCTGCAATGTGAGAGTATGCTGCGCCCGTGCAAGAGATTGGACAATCCGAAGCATGTAAGTCGAGAGAGCCATGTAAGAGCAGGACGCGTACGCGTCATGTGTCCGCTGCCAGTCCTCTCGATTCGAGCAGAATGGGCTGTTGCTTTGAGTCTTGCCAGACCGTCCGTCCAGTGCAACTACGAATGCTAATAGAGGAACCCGCCCGACGAAATCAATGCCAGCCCGATAACACCAAGTCGAAGCTGTCGCACATCCGATACGAGTACTGTAGGCAGTTATTCAAACATGAAGCGAGAACATCTTCCACGATGGAGTAATAGTGACAAGCAGTCGTCTTGCTCTCGAATGTAATCCACTAGACATCATAAACCCTCTACACTTAATATCGACTTATATATCCGCCCGAAAGAGAGGATGTGACCGGTCCAAAGGCAACCATGCACAACTGTGCAATATCTGTAAGCTTTCATTATTCTCCAGCTTTTTTTTCGTGAATGCCTGTCATCTTTTCTGACATGCTGTAGTTTCTTAATGTGTTACAGCATGGTTTCAGATGCTTGTCCTGTTTTGTTTTCGCACGCGTTTGTTCAGCGATTTTTCGGGATTTAGGCATGTGCGTTTCGAACTGATTGCACGACCGGTTGAACTCCATGGAATTTGCTTGCCGAGGATGACGAAAAGCCCGGCCGTCTGTCGCTATCCCACTTCAACCGTCCTGGACATGACCGGTTGCGGTGGTTCAGCAGCCGGTTGGGGCGCCGTGCCAGCTTGCCTGGGACCAGGAACAGGAAAGTGCTGTTACTGGGCCCAACAAAACGAGGAGAACCAACAGAGCTTACCGAGATGATCACCGTAGTGTGATTCGAGATCGATGCTTCCAGATACGTCCGAGAGGCAGATTTGTCTTCAGTCGCACCAGGGGATATGTTACTACGGTCGCCACTGCTTTGGCAAAGGCGCCCAAAGTGAAAGCCTCGGTCCAACAAGACACTGTGCGCATGCCGACTCATGATGCCATGACAGCCAACATCGGCCCGCTACCCAATGCTGTGGTATGGTGAGGCTTTCCACCACCACCGATCTGGCATGTCCGCATGCTCTTTAATGGTTTGACTTTTGCAACCGGACACACGCGCACATGTGCATGTTATTGTGTCCGTAAGGGTCCATGTGCCCACATAGTATCTACTTTGGCCTTAACGTTTCTTCCTGTATAGGGACTCCACTATGTTCAGGCCAACGTAGGGTGTATGTGTGTATATAGGTTAGGTCGGAAGGTAGGTAGGCAGGCAGGCACGCAGGGAGGCAGGTAGGGAGGCAGGCATGCGTACATGCATGTATATAGGTATGTATGTACGTTATGTGTGTAGGTAGGTATGTAGGTATGCAGGTACGTATGTTCCTATGTGTCTATGGTTGCATAAATGCATACACTATGTATACATGCATGCACGGATCGATGTAAGGCACATTAATTAACCTGAAAATGCATAAGCCCCACCACACCAACTCAACGCAATGGAGAGGAACCGTAAGTCGGCCACCGGTCACAGCAGGCAGGAATCCCAAGCTGCTCAACCCCCACTCAACGCTTCCTGGTGAGCCGTCACTCTACACCTCTTGGAGGATTTGCGATCCAAGCAGCCTGAAAAGCTGAGAGAGCTGGAGTCACCTGCTCACCACGATGACAGTCTATGACAAGCATGAGCATATTGATGGAATACTTTTCTGCTCGGCGGGCCAGCATCAGAGACTGAACGCTGCAACAGGCTAGAGTCCTGTTGATTCATCGGCCAGTTGCAATGGCTGACTGTTTTGAAGATCCGTCGCTGTTCTGCTTCCGCCCACAGTCAAAACAGAAAAGAAGACCCCGACACCCGTCCATACTAGTCTTTGAGTCTGGCGTTGGTTACGAAAGACCTTTCCACATTGGATAGTTGGTCTGCCGTTAGTGCGGGTTGCGGGCCTAGACACATGCCACCCAATGCATGCGGGCATGACGGGGTCTCCTGCTTCGCACCTGCTTGCATGATTGGTTGTCGGAGTTTTTGTGTTGAGCTTCATGTGCTAGAACGACCCAGCGGCATGAGCAAGAGCAGCCCTTCCCGTGGCAATGTTCTGCTGGCCTGCTCGTGCAACAACGTCTACAAAAGTCTATTCATTTCTCTCCCTATGGCACAAGGCACCGAGCCTCACTCCCGCCCGGAGGCCGCTCTCTCGCTCCCTCTTTCTGCCGTCGGCCCAAAGTCACCCGCGTCCGCCTCAGGGTTTCTGCGTTTCATTTGCCGGAGAAGGGCCTCTTTCAGCTTGTCCTTGACTGCAGTCATAGTGACGGCAACAATGCGAAAACAAAACTATCGCATGCTTGCCTGCTGCAGGCGTTTCCACGTGCCACAAGACTCGAGGGAAATGGGAGTCACAGCGTTTCGTTAAGCAAATCGGGAAGTAAGCAACTGCAAACAATCCTTGGTGGTGAAATCGTGAACTTCGTTGAATAAAGGGGGTGACTGATTCGAAACCACGAGGCAAATGACCCGATTCTCCGAGGCTCCAAGATGGTATTCTGAATCGCCGGGTTGATGCACAGGGCCTCGTTGTGACCAGCCACGGAAAGAAACGATTGAATACTCGACTTAGTTGCCACGCGGGAGACATGCCGAGGCCAAGACAATGTTGAAGCCAAGGCCGGTGTACAAAGCACCAAACCCTTGGCGACACGTGGGAGTTTCCGAAAATTAGGGGTGCCTGGTTTTGGAGTCCCTATAATAAGGATCCTACGTAAGACCGTCACCATCTCCAACAGAGCATGCCCCAAACTGGAAGTCATCACGCGAACGTGGACTCACGAGCCGGGCAACCCGAACCTTGCACAACATCTCGCAGATCAACACAAGGACCCTTCTTTTTGCGGCAGGGGCGCCATCTTCGTTCAGAATGCGCTGGAGCATGCCAAAGGTCCCCAAGCCCTAGCATCAATTCAGGGTCGGGCCTACAGAGGTCTGAGCCTGCAAACGAATGTACCGCTGTGGGTTGTGAAGAGAACAACCTGCAGTTGGCAATCCGCAACCTGCCGATGGGTTGAGATTTGGTGTCAAGGCAAGTCTATGTGAACGTAAGATGCGGTTTCTGCAGGATAAGAGATCTACAGTAGAACCTCACTGCTGGACACACGGCGGGAAGCCGGACAAAGGGGATACCTTGGCATCGTCCAGCTGCAGCTTGGTAGAGACAACTTCCAGCGGCATGTTGATCAAGGTGTTCCCTCAGATGTGCTTGGCTTCGTGGGATGTGCAAGGTGTTGCAAGAGGGCTGCTGTGAGCCAGGTTCCTCTTCCTCTTTCACAGGCACTTGGTCGATGCAGCACCAGGCTCGCTCGTGCAGGAATCTGTGCCAGGACACCCACTCCGGCAACATACCCAAGAATCAGCTTCACCTAGGCTCAGACACCACGTTGGAGACAAATTCAACACAAACAGCGAATCAAAATGAGGGCTTCTAGATGTTTCTCGCCTCCTAGCCACTGGCTGGGCTGCTCTCTTCCTGAGGCACGGACACCCGTTGTGACCGCCATATACTGCTTCATAATGGCGTTCATCCCATCGTAAATGTAGAAATACCTGAAGGTCAGAGGGTTGGAACAAGCCAAGGCCAAGCACATGAGCAGTAATACAGCAGCCTTAATAATTAGAATAAGGTCTTGGGGCCCATATACACTATAATTCAAACAATAAAGAACCCACCCCAAATAGTATTGATAACTATTTAGGCCCATACTACGAGAATCAGGCCCTGACGCGAAGTTCTTGGCCCCATTCCTCAGTGGCCGGCAACGGGGTTCGACACTGAACATTCAAGGGTTTAGGGTTCAAGGTACCGTCGGCACGAGGCTGCGTTCGCTGCACTGCCAACTACCAATTGCTGGTGTCATTGGGACAGGGCCCCTTTCCGCGCACCGACAAGGATCCCGCTATGTTCGAGTTGAGTGTCCGGAGCTACCATGTGCAAGTTGCCTTTGGAGACGATTCGGGGTCAGCCTCACACCTCCGTCACCGAAGTCCCATTCTGGATTCTGCCAACGCTCTAGGGGTGTCGAAGCCGGACTTGCTTGAAAGTTGGTTTCCCGGTACTGCGACCCGTAGCCAGGCTGAAAGCATGGCGTCTAGGAGCTTTCCAGATTTAGTGCGTGCTTGCAGTCCAAATCCAGCAAGCTTATTTCGGTCCAAGGGTCTCCGTGCATTTGCCACCTGCTCCCATCCAAAGGTTCCAAGGCTGGAACTCTCCAGCCGGGCCCCTGGCTATCTGCCTGCCATGTCAGATTGACATTTCGACGAGCTTCCTGGATCGCTTCCAGGTTCCGGAACTTGGACAGCGTATGAGATAAAGTTCCGGACATTCGTGGACTCATGCGGTCAGGTTCACGAGAACCGAGGCATAATTGCAATAAGCGCATAGCCTTCATTGCGAAATGAATGTCGAACCTCAAACAGTCTTCGCTGGCAAGCCGCAAGTGAGAACCTGCATGTAGACATGTCGTGACGACCGTGTCATGTCGTCTGGTGCGGTTGTCATAATTCTTGCGAAAGTCTCAACCGAGATGCCTCATGGTTGCGACGGTGCTGTCATCTCCTTGCAGCAGCACTCTGGATCTCGTCGAATTCGTGCCAAGAGGCATGCAGAACACATGCCATGCTGAGAACGTGATGCTCTCTTGGTGTGTGTTTTGTTTTCTCTTTGTTCTTCTTCACCACAGCCAAACAAGTGAAGCCTCCCCCACCCCCAGTGCGCACTCGTGCACTGGCCGCCACAGTGCGCTCTCCTCTCTCTCTCTCTCTCGTTTTCTTTCTGCCGGGCTTCAGGGTCTACCAGGGACCCCCCCACTGTACTAGTTACTAGTGAGTGGTCGGCCTTCATGGGGTCATCGTGGGCTGTCGGCTCCTTGCTGCAATCCCCGACGCCCTACCCTAAACAACACTATATAACCCAGGAGGCCTCATCTCCGCACCCCCATGGCAACCATTCAGGGACTGCAGCTTTGCAAGCAAAAGGCAGAACCGCCATGCATGCGTCGCAGGCTCAGCAGCTTCGCTGGGATGGCAACACCAATATGGGGCGGTGTGTTCCCCTCTCTTTTTCCTTCGGGGATTTCTTGTCTGGTCAAGATCTGGGATGGGGGTATTGCCCCCCAAGGGGATCTCAACGTCCTGCAGGGCATGTCTCTCCCTCTCCCTCTCTGCCTCTCTCTCTTTCTTTCTGCCGGGCTTACGGGTCACGCATGCCTCGCCCTCTCTCTCTCTGCCTCGGCTCTCGGCTCTGTCCGTTCATGTCTGTCCCACATTTCACTGTGCTGTTTTCTTCTGCGGAAGTTCTGCTCGAGGTGCTGAGTAGGAGGTAATCAAATTCTCCGTGCGTGCGCAGCAAAGGCCGGCCTCCGTGACTGATCTGGATCCGAGTTTTCGCCACCTGAGGACGATTCCGTTCCAGTTGCTGAGCATGGAGTTTTCTTGAGCTTTCGGAGTCCCGTCAATGAAATCTGTCGATGCACCTGATTGGGTAAATCAGAGGAACGGGATATTGAAGCTTCATACTTCTCATGATTTCGCTCTATTGGAAACAAAAGCCCTGTTGCTGCCCGCCTCCACTGGTTGCAGAACGAACGAGGCGAAGACAGCGCCGGCTGCACCAGCACTGGCCTGTACAGTCAACACGGGCAGGTCAGACAGTGCTGCGTCTCGAGTCCATGACAGCCATGCAGAAAACTCATCGCCTCTTGCACCTTTACTACAGCAGTCTCACGCCCTGCCGCACATGCTGTGCAAATTGAACCGGACATGATAGTGTGCTGAATGTGTGCAAAACCAACGACATCAGGAAGCTTCATGAGACGATGTATTGAAGTGACACGGTCGTGCCTCGCCTGCACCAATGCAATAAAAGCAGGCGACTCCTGGCTTATCTTCATAGCGCTGTCACCTGCAGATGCTGATGGAATGCTGAACTGCTCGAACCGTGTTCTACGAATCGTAGCAGGAAGTGCTGGCCTAAAGCAACCCGAAACAACAAGGCAGTCTTCAGAACATGACATGTGATCCTGTGTGCAACTATAACGAAACATCGCAAGCTGCTACTGCACTGGTATCTGTTCGATGGAACTGAAATCCAACGCATCTTGAAATTTGTGAGAGCTCTCGGTTTGCAACGTCGGATGGCTACGCGGACGGACAGTCACGGACATCTGTGTATTTCTTCACCAGAAGGCAACTAGGTGAAACCACCAAACCTTCCTGTCGGCAACTTTGCACAGACAAAGATATGCAAAAGAATCCTGCTACTGGTAAGAACAACAACATCAAACAGCAAACTTGCGTTTGTTCCGGCTGAAGCCGGACTCTGGAACACTTAGAGGTAAGAGCTGCGAGCATGCCACTCAGTAGTCTTTGCTAGAAGCTGCTGCTGTGCTGAACCGTGTGTTCTTGCATGTCTCATGCTAAAAATGTACGTGTCTGACCTGCTTTAGTAGGGACCCAACACGCACATGAAAGACTGTCTCCAAAGCCAACCCTCCACAGGAATCTGTACCCTGAAATTCTGGCCAATCCCGCCTCCAGACAGCTGTGGCGCAGCTGCGAGAACTTTACTGGCCAACCCTACAAGTACAGCTTCTGTGGTACATGGTTGACATGGCGATTGTGAGACCGGGCTATTTCCGAGACTGAGGCGGACCAAGACTAGGCCCCAACCTACAAGTGACTCTGCGCCTAGAACACATTCCAAAAAGCACATGAGGTTTTCGATTTACTGCTCAGGTCATGATGCAGACAGTGCCAAGATGCATGAACCCTGCAGCTGTGCAGCATTACGACGCGCCCATGATAGACAGCCCCAGGAACAGAATGATAAGATCCGATCCATCCATCCATCCATCCGTCCATCCATACATACACACACTGTCCATATGTCTGTGTACATACCATGACATCATGTATGTATCTTGCATACATAGATGCACACATACATACAAATCCATACACATGAGCAGGACAAAAAGAGAGAGAGAGAGAGAGAGAGAGAGAGAGAGAGAGCGAGAGAGAGAGAGAGAGAGCGAGCGAGCGATCGAGGGAGAGCGCGAGAGCGAGAGGGAGAGAGCGACAGGGAGAGAGTGCGAGGGAGAGCGACTCCAAGTCCCTGTAAGAGTCCCTACTCGCTGAAAGAACCCTCCAAGTGGCAAGCCACACGCAAGCGTTACCGCAAGAAATTTCTACGCCCTGCAAGGAGCACAAAGTCAGGAAGACCATTTGACCCAAGCGCGTCTCCGTTTGGAACGCACTTTGGGCTTGGTTCTTGACTTGTCTCGACTCAAGAAAATGGCTCCGGTTGACCGTGTTGGCCATGACGGTGCAACAGAAGGTTTCTGGCCTTCAGCTAGAAGCATCTGGAGAGGATGCGGTCAATACCATCTCTGATGCGGCTTTCTTCTGTCCCCGCTATGACGAACTCGCGAAGCCTGACTTTGGGATTATGATTGTGCTCGTTGGCAAAGCTCCGTGCTCTGTGACTTGTCTAAGCATCGCAGCCTCGAGTGAGAACATTAGCTACATTTTTCCACCTGCAAATTTGCCAAAGTTTGCTCTGTTGCAGACACGAATGGGGCCGACAACAATCACATAGTTCTGAATGGGACGTGCGGCGGTGTGAAACTTGCACGACAAGCAAACAACATCCTTCAAAATTACTGCGAAGCTCTCGGCGTCTGCTGGCACCTCGACAAGCTCACAACTGCACTTGAGCCACAGCTAATCCCGCTCTGCATTGCTATCAAGTTCCAGTGACGACATGTCGAAAATAGATGGCACATCGCACAGCCAGGAGTAAGTTCTCGGCCTCGGCTACTCCTGGACGGGCATGCGAGGTGTTGTTCGGGTGGGGCTGCCTGATATGTTTGAGGCACCGTGAACGTACTCCATACCGGTCCATACCCAACGTAAGATGCGGGGTCGATCCACAGCTCTGATGGACATCGTGTTCAGGCAGAAAAGCTGTGACTCTTGCTGCGAGTGCCGGAAGCACGACCCCCTGCTAATTTTGAGGTCGGAGGCCATGGAGATCAGCACTTCAGTTGAAGCCGAGAACAGTCAGCCAAACCCACAATTGTCAGCACATCCTCTGCAAGCACCTCCTGATAGTGTTGAGCACATTTAAGCTCAGCTCTTCGTCAGCGTTTTATCCTAAAGCTCGCTTAATCCTGCGTGCTGGCCTCGTTCCAGGTTGCCGCCTCCTCCGGAAAACCTGCACTGGGGACAAGTGGGTGTGGTGAAAGAAAGACAAATAGTTATTGTCGCAACCGGCACCGACACTTTTGCGCATCTGTGGGCTGTTTAATAATGTTTCATGGCTGAACAAGCCTTTGTTATTCATTAATTAGCCGGAATTACCAAACAGATGAAAAGTAATTCTTCAATCCGACGCCTTTTTTTAATTTTTTTCCAAATTTTTATCGTTATCGTAGTCGCTAGGGCCTCCGCCGAAACGTACCAAGCTCCATGCCGCTCATGCCTCATGTAATTCGACACATGTTCGCCTCGAGTAACCTAACCCGGGCAGATTTTCTGTCATTGAGTCATTGAGTCATCGGTGGTGAGGGAGGGAACCCAAAACCGCTGATTTTGTGCTTTTTTCTGCTGGACTCAAGTCTAGTGCCCAAAGGCTCCATAGTAGCTCTTTTTGGGGTTGGAAATTTGTGGATATTCAATCTACGGATTGTGTTGAATAGGGCTTTTACACTACCTCGAGGACCGCTGGGCCTCAGGTGCCCTACGCATCTTCAAAACAAAGTCACCGTAACTTCGTTGAGTGAACAGGCTCTTCTTTCCAGGATGCGGGTCTCGATGACCACCACCAAACCAAACAGAACCACAAGAAGACATCCGTTCTTCCATCAACCTTTCAGACACAACCCGGCTCGATGCCTGCCAGAAGCTTGATGGCGATTGGCCGCTGTGATGGCTCGAACCTGCTGGAAGTAGCTGATACATCCAGATTTGTTGAGTGCCAACTTCTCTAAAAGTGCCTGCAATTAGGCTCAAGCCTGGCAGCAAAACGGGCTTTAGAGGACGATGGTCAAAATCATCGTGATAAAGTTATCGTGAACGAATCCGGACCACAGTCATAAGCATGGCTAACAAATTATCAAGATCGCTGCTCTTTCTGCATTGGTGTCTAACATCGTCTAAGAAAGCCCGCTCCCGGCCTCATGCACAATGCGACGAAGTTTCGGCTGGACCTCGTTCCAACCGTCTAAACAAGCATATGGTTCTGCCGGCACCCACCCAACAGAGTAAGGGAGCACCAGCAGTGCAAGCACTACCTATAGTCTCCATTGTAGTTCCTTTTTTCGATACCCAAAATCTCTATTATAGGGTCCTAACCATAAAACTGGTTCACCAAAAAAGAAACTACAATCGAGACTATAGGTACATACCCAAGAATCAGTCGATAAACTGGGAGCGAACCCCTGTTCTTGAAAGAGAACGAAGAAGAATGGGGTGATGAAGGTGAAAATCAAAGTTGATAAAACAAAAGGAAGCAGTGGTGGTGATGATGATCAAAGTGCAGATGAAGGTGGTGCTAATGCTAGTGCTGGTAACAAGAAGTAGCGGATGTGCTGAGGCCAAAGTC